TCTGCCCTGATGCACACAGTGGGGTGTTTGCACCCTCTCGAGACTTCACAGTGGGAGTGAAATTCCAACACGTGAAGCCTTAGCAGGCACACTAACGCTGTCACCAAGCGGGATTTAACTGATCTTAATTCTCTGTAGCACTTCCATCTGCTCAATAATGGATAGAACTTTCCTTCTCCTACGATTAGCCAAAGGGAAAAGGAAATGCTGATACACATACTTTTTGAGTCAATAATTTGAATTTCTTAATATCACCTAATGAACATTTTTTTACAGATTTTATTTATTTATTTGAGAGGTTGAGTTACAAAGACAGGGAGAGAGAGAGACAGAGAGAAAGGTCTTCCGTCCGTTGGTTCACTCCACAAATGGCCACATGGCTGGAGCTGTGCCAATCCGAAGCCAGGATCCAGGAGCCTCTTCCTGGTCTCCCATGTGGGTGCAGGGGCCCAAGGACTTAGTCCATCTTCCACTGCTTTCCCAGGCCACAGCAGAGAGCTGGATTGGAAGAGGAGCAGCCGGGACTAGAACTGGTGCTTATTTGGGATGCTGGCGCCGCAGGTGGAGGATTAACCTGCTCCATGGAACCGGCCCCACATTTCTTTATTTAAAATGTGGGCAGCTGAATTTAGCAAACAGATGTAATGGTGCGAGTACAAAAATTAGGCTTTTATAAAAAATATTTATTTTTTTATTTGAAAGGCAGAATTACAGAGAGGCAGAGAGACAGAGCTTCCATCTGCTGGTTCATACCCCAAATGGCTGCAGTGGCTGGAGCTGGGCCAGTCTGAAGACAGGAGCTTCTTCTGGGGGCAGAGACCCAAGGACTTGGGCCATCTTCTGTTTTCCCAGGCACATTAGCAGGGAGCCGGATCAGAAATGGTGCAGCTGGGACTTGAAATGGTCTTTATGGATGCTAGCATTGCAGGCGGTGGCTTTTCTGGCTATGCCACAGCACTGGCCCCAAAACTAGGCATTTTAAGAGTTTAGTTTTTGAGTATGGCACTGTGGCACAGCGGGTTAAAGCCCTAGCCTGCAGGGCCAACATCCCATATGGGCGCCGGTTTGAGTCCTAGCTGTTCCAGTTCCAATCCAGTTCTTTGCTATGGCTTGGGAAAGCAGTAGAAGATGGCCCAAGTCCTTGGGCCCCTGCCCCCATGTGGGAGACCCAGAAGAAGCTCCTGGCTCCTGGCTTCAGATCAGCTCGGCTCTTGCTGTTGCGGTCATTTGGGGAGTGAACCAGCAGGTGGAAGACCTCTCTCTCTCTCTCTCTCTCTCTGTGTCTCTGTCTCTCTGTCTCTCTCTCTGGCTCTACCACTCTCTGTAACTCTGTCTTTAAAATAAATAAAAATCTTTTTTTTTAAGTTTAGTTTTTAGGATTTTTTTTTTGACAGGCAGAGTGGACAGTGAGAGAGAGAGACAGAGAGAAAGGTCTTCCTTTTGCCGTTGGTTCACCCTCCAATGGCCGCCACGGCCGGCGGGCTGTGGCCGGCGCACTGCGCTGATCCAATGGCAGGAGCCAGGTACTTCTCCTGGTCTCCCATGGGGTGCAGGGCCCAAGGACTTGGTCCATCCTCCACTGCACTCCCGGGCCACAGCAGAGAGCTGGCCTGGAAGAGGGGCAACCTGGACAGAACCCGACTGGTACTAGAACCCAGTGTGCCGGCGCCACAGGTGGAAGATTAGCCTAGTGAGCTATGGCGCTGGCCAGTTTTTAGGAATTTTTTCTTAAAAAAATTTCCCTTCCTTCCTTCCTTCCTTCCTTCCTTCCTTCCTTCCTTCCTTCCTTCCTTCCTTCCTTCCTTCCTTCCTTCCTTCCTTGTCTTGGCAGTGTCCGTAGAGATAGAAATCTTCCATCCACTGTTTCACTTCCCAAATGGCTACAACAGCCAGGACTGAGCCAGGCCAAAGCTAGGAGCCAGGAGCTTCTTCCGGGTCTCCCATGAGGGTGCAGGTGCCCAAGGACTTGGGCCATCTTCTGCTGCTTTCCCAGGCCACAGCAGGGAGCTGGATTGGAAGTACAACAGCCAGAACTTGAATCAGCACCCATATGGGATGCCGGCGCTGCAGGTGGCATTTACCCACTAGGGCACAGCGCTGGCCCCAATATATTCTCTTAATTAATTTCATTTGAAAATTTAAATTTCTCTTCCCGAATAAGGAATCTTAGGAAATTCTAACCAAAGTCGTTTTCCTCTCTTCTTACATGTTATCATCTGCTATCCTGACTCTACCTGGTATCTTTATCTGCAGAAACTAGCTATTGTTGCATTCATTCAACATTGTTTCAGATTTAATCTCAGATACGCCGATTTAGAGTCTTCTGAAACCTGTTTTAGTTCATTTTTCTCCATCTCAACAGTTTAGCTATTATTTCAGAGGTGCTCTGAATGATACATATTTTAAATCTCTGTTCAGTGAAAATGCTCTGAGCTAGTCCTCATCTTTGAATGATGGTTCAGCTCAGAATGTGATTCCAGTTTGAAGGATTCCCACCTCCATTTTCTGAATTCTGGCCCATAAACCTGTAAAGACTGAAACATGTTGGTACCAGCACAGGAAGAGGAGAATAGATATGTAAAACAGCGGAGAATCCAGAACAAGAATACTTTATATATCATTATTTATTAAGGACAAAGCATTTTAAATCAATGTTTAGAAAAGCGTATTTAATAAATAGTATTGGTAAAATGTGCACTCATCTGGGAAACTGTACCATGAAATATCAGTATAATAGAGAGCTGCATAAGATTCCAAATAGATTTGAACTGAGAAGATGAAGGAGAATGTTTGTACAAGATGGTGTGACAAAAACTCACCACGAGCATCGTTAAAGCTTATGTAGCAAACAAGACATATTGCACGTAACCAAAGTTAGCTGTCACTGCAGTATTAGGAACCTTTATAATAATACATTAGAGGAAAATAATATAAAACAAGATATATAATATAAAGTTGTATATTACATAAAATACATTTTTAATAAAATAATACAATAATATATTAGAGGATAAAAGGGCAAAGTAAGCAAGTAGGCAATTCATAAATAAAAAAATACAAAGCAGATTTTTTTAGTCAACAACCTTACTACTCATTAAAGAAATGCTTAGTCATTTGTCCGATTAGCAAATATTAAAAATGATTTTTAGTGTCCCATGATATGAGAAAATAGGTAGTCTTTAAACCATTGTTCAGAGTATAAAATTTTAAATACTTTTGGAGAACATTATGTCAATATATATTAAAATTTTAAATGTGTATATGCTTTGGTTCAGCAGTTTCACTCCAAATTTATTGTAAGGAAGTACTTAGATATGCATCTAAAAATGTATTTCCATTTGCATTTAATATTGGCAAAGCAATTAGAAACAACCTAAATATTCATCAATAGGAGACTTCAAATAAGTAAATGATGTTATACTCACAGAACAGAGTGCTATACAGTTTTTAAATATTTGTAAAATTGTTTTAAATAAAAACCCAAAATGTAGATTATAAAATAGTTTATGTACTGATTATGTATGAAATACAGAAAATTACAAAATATAAAAAAGTCAAAGAATTTAGATCAAAATTCACTTATATGTTACATATTTTTAAACATTAATTTGTTTTTGAAATATACTTGTTTAAAATGTAAAAAGAAAAACTCAGGAAACTTAGGCATGCCAGCATGCCTTAAAAGAGAAGTGGATTCTAATTATTCTTAGGTGTTTAAATTTAACTGAAAATTGATCCCTGTTAAAAATAAGAGTGGGAATAAGAGAGGGAGGAGACGTACAGTTTGGCACAAGCTCACTCAGACTTACCCCTAATGGTAGAGCTAGAAACGTGCCATGGGACTCCAAATTCCATTAAGTTGGTAGGTACCAATGCCATCTTACTAGTTAAAGTGATCAGTTTAAGTTCATAATTGATCATAAAGATAGGATTAAGTGTCAAAGGGAACACATAAATAAGACCAGTGTCTGCTAATTATAATTGATAGAATTAAAAAAGAGAGAAGGACCCACCATGAGAAGCAGGATACACAGCAGACTCATAGAATGACAAAGGCCCTTAACAGCACTCTGGCCTCAGAATCAGCCCTTAAGACATTCAGATCCGGCTAAAAAGCCCATGAGAGTTTCTCAGGCATGGAAAGCCAAGACACTTTGGCAAAAAATGATCTAAATGAAAGATCTCTGTGAGTGAGATCCCAGGGGAAAGAGGGGGCCATCAAAGAAAGAGGTACCATTCTCTGAAGGGAAGAGAAAACTTTGACTTTGATTATGGCCTTGTCTAAATAAGGTCAGAGTTTGTGAACTCAAGAGGCTTCCATAGCCTTGGCAGCTCATGACAAGAGCATCGGGTGATTACTGATGTAATAAAGAAGAGTGTCAATTGTTAAATCAACAACAGGAGTGACTGTGCACTTGCTTCCCATGTAGGATCTCTGTCAATGTGTTGTACTATGCAAATTAATGGTAAAACTAGTATTCAAACAGTACTTTATACTTTGTGTATCCCTGTGGGTGCAGTCTGTTGAAATCTTTACTTAGTATAGAGTTGATCTTCTGTATATAAAGATAATTAAAATGAATTTCAACGAAGAATGGGATGGGAGAGGGAGTAGGAGATGGGATGGTTTGTGGGTGGGAGGGAGGTTATGGGGGGGAAAAACCGCTATAATCCAAAAGTTGCACTTTTAGAAAACTTTTATTTAATAAATATAAATTTCCAAAAAAAAAGTGGATTCAGTATCCATAGATAACCCTGAAATGGGGAGACCTGAGAAGTTGTTGGTGTTGCTGATGTCACACCTGTAATGAGCACTGCTGGGTACAAGCCTCCAGGGCTCCAGATAATCGCAGCGAAGCCTCCGCTGTCAGACTTGCTCTGAGGATGCGCTTGCTAGGGGCTTTCTGTGATGTCACTGTGTCGTTTTCACCCTGGCCAGTCGGGGAGCTGGAATGCGGGTGAGGGAAAGCACCAGGTCATCGTCTGCTTTCGCCCCGCAGGCTCCCGGAGAGAAAGGTGTGGGTACCGCATAGTGCGGAGACGGAGAAGTTCCGGCGAGCTGCACTGCCCGAGCAGAGCCAGGAAGAACGGAGGCCCTGTGACGCGCGTCAAGGACGTGCTGCTGAGCGCCCTGAGCCCGGAACAGCTGGTGCTCACCCTGCTGGAGGCAGAGCCGCCCCACGTGCTGGTGAGCCGCCCCAGCTCGCCCTTCACCGAGACCTCCATGATGCTGTCCCTCACCAAGCTGGCCGACAAGGAATTGGTGCACATGATCGGCTGGGCCAAGAAAATCCCCGGTAGGCTCTCTGGGTGATTGTGTTCCATTTGTGGGAAGGCCTGCCCGATGTTTAGGGGCTGGGGGTACAAAGTGGAGGTCCCCGGGCTCTGTCCACATGTTTACAGCTTGCCATCTTGATTCATAACTTGTAAATGAGGTTTGTTTTTTTCCTTCTGTCTTGACCGACATACCCTCAGGTGTCCTGGGAGGCAGTTTCTGACTCAGGAATCTTGAGGCTTCTGGGTTCTTCTATATTATGCATGGTAGTACAGGAGGAGTTAGTTGTATGTGACCTGCCCTTTTCTTTCTAGATTTATTTATTTATTTGAAAGTCAGAGCTGCAAAGTGAGGGGGGTCGGAGAGAGAGATCTTCCATCCGCTGTCACTCCCCAGCTGGCACAATGGCCAGGCCAAAGTCAGGAGCTTCATCAGGGTCTCCCACATGGGTGGCAGGGGCCCAAACACTTGAGCCATCTTCTGCTTCTTTCTTCAGGCCATTAGCAGAGAGCTGGATTGAACGTGGTGGGGTAGCAGGACACGAACTGGTGCCCGAATGGGATGCTGGTGTCACAGGTGGTGGCTTTACCAGCTAACACCACAATGCCAGCCCCTAGCCCTTCCATTTCTATTCCTCACTCTTCTTTCCCCATCCCCAGATCCATCCGACACCACGGAGACACATGCTCCTCCTATGTGTCCACATCATCTGTTGGCCACTTCTGTGTCCACGTGTGGTATGGGAGGAGACTCACCCAGTGTCTGCAGCTGGGCTTAGGACCATTGGGCAGGGAATTCTAAGGTCTCAGGGCCTGGCTGGAAGGCAGAGATGTTTGCTGCACTCTGGCCCGTGTCTCCTCTGCTTGGAAGGGGCAGTGTGGGGGTCATTTCTTGGTCTGGATCCCCATTCCTTCCCAGTCCCCTGAGGATTTTCTGGTTTGTGGCTCTGTTTTGTTTAGCATCTTTACTTTTGCCAGAATTAAGTTGTTTTCCCTGCCCTTTGCCAGGAGAGAATACTGATGCATCTTCCTCTAGATTTTGCTTTCTTTTTTTTTTTTTTAAGATTCATTTATTTATTTGAAAGGTAGAGTTAAAAAGTGAGAAGGGAAGGGAGAGAGTGAGCGAGCGAGAGAGAGATCTTCCATCCGTTGGCTCATTTCCTAAATGACCTTTAGCAGCTACGGCTGGGCCAGGCTGAAGCCAGGAGCTTCTTCCAGGTCTCCTATGTGGGCGCAGGGGCCCAAGGACTTGGGCCATCCTCCACTGCTTTCCCAGGCACATTGGCAGGGCGCTGAATCAGAAGTAGAGCAGCTGGGACTTGAACCGGTGCTCATATGTGATGGCAACACTGGAGGCAGCTGATTAACCCACTGTGCCACAATAACAGCTCTGGTTTAGGGCATTTGGGGAGTGAACCAGTGGCTGGGAGATCTCTCTTTGTCTCTGCCTCTCAAATAAGATAAATAAATAGGGACGGACATTTAGCACAGTGCTTACGTCCCTGCTTGGGATACCTACGTCCTATACTAGAGTGTCTGATTCAGTCCCAACTGCTGCACTTCCCCTCCAGCTCCTGCTAACAGGCATCCTGGGGAGGCACAGCAGATGATGGACCAAATGTCTGGGTCCCTGTAACCCACAGGGGAGACCCCAAGCGAGTTCCAGGCTCTTGACTTCAGCCTAGTGCAACCCTGACTGTTGTGGGCATTTGGGGAGTGAACTAGCAGATGGAAGATCTGTCTTTCAAATAAAATGAAAATTAATTAATTAAATTGAAAATAAAAATATTAAATGTGTTGTAAACACTATTTCGTGGGACCCCACTTGGAGAGTGGTGGTGAAATTAATTATTGCTAAACCCTATACAGCTTATTTGTGTCCTAACAAAACTGAATTTGTAAGCTGCCTTAGTCCCTCCTCTAGCCTGGTTTTTCAAAATAGGCTTTGTCCAAAGTTGTGAATTTCTCTTCTTCTCTCTCAGTTGACATAGTCATTGACTGGTGAAAATATGAAAATCTCACCCAGTCTCGATCTTGTTGAATGTTATCTATAAGAATAAACAGCCCTCCCTGTCTCGAGTAGGCCGACAGCTGTGACTGGGAGAGAGGGGGACGTGCACGCGTCAGGCACTGGACTGAGCCTCTGTGTGGCGTTGGAAGGGTCTGTCCACCTTGCATTCATCGCTCCTGCCAGTTTTCCTCCATGCAGAATCGCATTGTAGCTGTTGAGAGACTCGGCGCACGGGTGGTCTCGGGGCTGTAGTCTCCTCAACTAGAGATGAGGAGGGTCAGAGATCCTACTGTAGGAAGCCCTCGGAGGTTGGCAGTATGACCCCCGTTTCTCAGAGCAAAGGAGATTGAGTGGTCAGCTGGGAAAGGCCTGGCCGTGACTGTACGTGTGTGACGCTGCCCCTCCTTTCCTCACGCCCCGGGGGAAGTCCCCCGCCGTTGGCCTTGCCTTTGGACTGCTTCCCTTCCTGGGGCTGACCTGTTGGGGCTCTGTGGCCAGTGCTGGGAGGCTCTCCGGGCCTCCTGTGTGGCAGCCTTTGCCCTTCAGGACGGAATTGGGAGACCCCGCCCAGAAGGATGCTCCTAACTCTGCACGGGAGGTGTTGTGTCCGCGGAAGCCTCGACTCTGCAGAGGCTGGTGTTGCTGTCCACGTGTACCCCACTGGCAGCCTCTGCCCCCCCCCAACCCCCCTGCTCCCAGTCATGGCCTGGGTCAGGAGCAGGTCCTCTGACGCCCAGCCGAGCATTGCCTCAGTCAATGGAGCAGAAGAAGTACGAGGCTGCAGCCGATGAAGCTTGGGTCAGGCTTTCTGTTCTTCCTCGGTGTCTGGGGAGCCAGATGAACCCAGGTACCAGACCTGTATAAGTTCTAAATCCTGAAAAATGCCGGGGATACATTCTGGGAAATGTGTCGCTGCGTGATTTTGTCATTGTAGGAACATCACTCACACACACCTGGGCTGTTGGAATCCTTCATACCCCTGGTTCCTTCATATACGTGAAGCCGCTCGGTGCCCTAGGACTGGGTATTAGTCTCGAGAAGGGGCCCAGGACTGGCTCACCCTAAGTTCAGATGGTTCTTCCTTTAACCAGCCTTCACCACATTTTAAAAACACAGGTTATTTTCCTGTATTGTTAGGGATTATTTTTTTTTCTCTTTAAAACCTGCTGTCGTGTTGTCACAGGCACGAGGTGCTGAGGGAAGGGCAGGTGCGTCTCACAGCTCTTGCTTTCCCCAGGCTTTGTGGAGCTCAGCCTGTTGGACCAAGTGCGCCTCTTGGAGAGCTGCTGGATGGAGGTGTTAATGGTGGGGCTCATATGGCGCTCGATCGACCACCCCGGCAAGCTCATCTTTGCCCCAGACCTCGTGCTGGACAGGTGAGGAAAAGCACCGTGTGCTGCTTCTGCCTCTTGTTTGATCAGGGCGTGTGGTGAGTGGGGAGCAGTTACAGTGTCACACCGAACAGGCAGCCGCGGGGGCGGAGGCCATCGATCCTTCACGGGGCCAAGAATCGAAGTTCTGTGACTCATTTGTTAATGTTTATTTTTAATTAATTAATTTATTTGAAAAGGAGAGAGAAAGAGGGGATGTACACAAGCACTCTCCTACCCGCTGGTTCACTTCCCAAACGCCTGCAACAGCCAGGGATGAACCAGGCCAAAGCCAGGAGTTGGGGTCTCAGTCTGGGTGTCCCACGTGGGTGGCAGGAGCCCAGGAGCTTGAGCCATCATCCACTGCCTGAAGCAGAGCCAGACGTGAGCCCAGGTACTCCAGCGTGAGAGGCAGGCATCTCATATGGCATCTCATCTACCACACCAAAGGCCTGCCCTCCTGTGACTCATCTCTCTTTTTTTTTTTTTAATTTCTATCTTTCAAAGGCAGAGTGATGGAGGGAGAGATAGAGACAGGTAGACAATCCATCTTCCATCCGCTGGTTGATTCCTCAAATGGCCATAATGTCCAGGGCTGGTCTAGATCCAATCCAGACGCCTGGAACTCCATCCAGGTCTCCCACATGGGTGGCAGTGGCCCAAGCACTAGGATCATCTCTGCTGCTTTCCCAGGCACGGTAGCAGGAAGCTGCGCTGGAAGCAGACCAGCTGGCACTCAAATTGTTGCCCTGATATGGGGTATCGCATTGTTTGCAATGCAGTTTGCAATGTTTGCATTGCAAACAGCAACACTGGCCCCCTCATTTTAAATGAGTGTTGCAGTGTCAGCCACAGGCCAGGGATACAAGAGACTGCATCCTGCAGGATATGTGGCCACTATGTGCACATGTCAATTTAGGTTTTTCTTAAAAAATCCCATTATCAGGTAATAATCTAAAATTTTTCTGAGTTTTTTCCACCTGTAGTGACCAATTACATCTCTAGCTATCTAGACAGGCGATCAGATTCTTACAGATCTGCCAGATTCATTTTCAAGTGCTTTAACTTACCTGAATGCATGTGCTCTTGCATTTTTGGCAACAGCAGTTGCCGGAGTGGTTATTAAAACCAGGTGAAAGTGAATGGAAATTGGAACATGATGGTGCTAGTGCTGTGTCTTGGTTGCATTTTAGTTTTCTTTCGGAGGTCACATGGAAAGGGCTGGGGATTTGCCACACTGGTTTAACTGCTGCTTGGACGTCCTTATCCTGGCCTGCACCAGTGTCTGCTCCGAGTCTCGGCTCTGCTTCCTGGTGACGTGCATCCTGGGAGGCAGCAGGTGAAGGCCAGGTGGTTGGGTGCCTGCCACATGCGGGAGACCTGGAGTGAGTTCCTGGCTCCCGGCTTTTTTAATCTGGCCCAGCCCCAGATATTGCAGGCACTTGAGGAGTGAACCAGCAGATGGAAGATGTGTCTCATCTCGGCTCCTCTCTCTCTCTGTCTCTCTGTCTCTCTCTCTCTCTGTCTCTCTGTCTCTTTCTCTTGTTCTGTTTCTTTACCTTTCAAATGAATAAGATAGGGGTATGTGTTTGGCACAGCAGTTAAGACACCACTCGGGATGCCCACGACCCACACAGGGATGCCTGGTTGAGTCCCAGCTTCTCTGCTTCAATCCAGCTTCCTGCTAATGTGCCTGGGCGGCAGTAGGGACTACCTCAAGTATGCGGGTCCTCGCACCCATGTGAGAGGTAGGGGTTAAATTCTGAAATGCTGGCTTCAGTCCCAGCTGTGTGGGCATCTGGGGGTGAACCGGCGGATGGAGGATCTCTGCCTTGAACTCTTTGTCTTTGTTGCCCTGCCCTTCAAATGAAGTGAAAATACTCTTTAAAAAAGTCAAATTCTATTTTAAAAAATTTTTAGAAAAGATTTATTTATTTGAAAGGTAGAGTCACAAAGAGGGAGAGATAGGGGCAGATATATAGAGATCTTGAATCCACTTTTTCACTCCCCAAATGGCTGCAATGGCTGGGGCTGGGCCAAGCCAAAGCTGGGAGCCAGGAGCTTCATCCAGGTCTCCCACATGCGTGGCAGGGACCCAAGCTCTTGGGCCATCTTCTGCTGCTTTCCCAGGCATGTTAGCAGGGAGCTGGATTGGAAGTAGAGCAGCTGGGACACGGACTGGTGCCCATATGGGATGCCAGTGCTGCAGGTGGCAGCTTTACCCGCTACACCACAGCACCAGCCCCTAAAATATTTTTAAAAAGTGTTTAAAAGGACATGTTTGACAGGCAGAGAGACAGGGAGAGACAGAAAGAGAGCTCCCACCAGCTTCTTCATTTACAACAGCTGGGGCTGGCTCAGGCTGCAGCCAGGAGCTACAAACTTACAGCAGGTCTTCCACATGGGTGACCGGGACCTGGCTACTTGAGCCATCACCTGATAGCCTCCAGGGTACTCATTGGCAGGAAGCTAGAATTTGGAAGTAGAGCTGCAACACGAACCGAGGCACATGGATAGGATGTCCCAAGAAGTGACTACTATGCCAAATGCCAGCTTCCAGGAACCAATTTTTGATTGATATAGTTGAACTGTTTATGTAGGGAAAACTGGAATATATAAAATCGCAGGCATTGTAGCAGGTGAAACGGACCACTTCCTTGGTGAAAAACTGCTGGTGTTGAATATTTAGCCATATTCAACCCTGCACATTGTAGGAGGATCCCCAGGGCTATTGTGGGTAGACATGGCGGAAGAGGTTCTTGTGTTCACGCAAGAAGGAATTCAGAGGTGAGACAGAGAGGAGTGGGAAGCAGGGTAGCTGGGCTGAATGGGGCAGGGCATCCATCAGATGGGCGCCTCTCCAGACAGAATCCGAGAGCGAGTGCCCGTTCACTCCGACTGGAGAAAGCAAGAGTACGTGGTTTAATGGAGAGAGCTGAGCGCACAGTCTGTATTCAGACTGGGGCTTATTAGGGAATGGGTTCCAGTTCTTCCCACTATTTCTCCTTTTACCTTTCCTCTTCTCCTGGACAGAGGGTTTGCTGAGTGCAAAGTAGGTAAAATCCTCCCAGGGTTTCACGGCTCAGTGCTATCAGACGGGCTCCGGACAGAGGAGCTTCCCCTAGGGTGCCTCCCTTGGGCGAAGGCTGTGAAGGTTTTGTTGCCAAATGCTCTCAAGCTGGGTAACCCATTTGGTGATGAGCGGAGAATTCTCCTGGGGAGCGTTCCTTTGTCGGGGGAAGGCTGGGACCACCTGTAGAGTTAGCAGGTGTGGACAGGGCTTAACACTGTAACATGCTAGACTGCTCCCAAGGTGTCTTCTGACTGCTGAAGCCTTAGGCCCCTCTTACACATCTAGGCTCATTCCTAACTTCCTGCCTAACACTGAGTGGGAGCACCCCTCCAGCTCCTGCGTTGTTATCCTGTTATCCCTTAAGGTGACCGGATTCTCAGAAGCCCGCCACGCACCGCTCCTTCGTGGGCAGCAGTGCTCTGCCTGCCTGTTGCTGTGAGGACAGCACGGACCAAGTGCACGTTCTTGATAACGGACGTGTTTGGGTGTGGAGCAGAGGCTTTGCGAAGAGCTGCTCAAACAGGGGCGCGGCCAGGAGGTGGATCACAGCGGGGTGTTCCGGAAGCCCGGAGCAGTGTGGGCCATCAGACCCTTTGGTAGCAAGCAGAACAGCCACGTGCTGGGCCTCAGTGTGCCAGCGGCATCTTCAGCACCTCATGTGTGTTGATCCTTCAGTCTTCACAGTAGCCCCTTGTGGGGGGGGGGCACCGTTATTTTCCCCGTCCTTTAGGTATGTAACTGGCAGGTTACTGAGTAGCAAGTGGTGGAGCTGGACTTGAGGGAATCCTGGTCATTGGTGACAGTGGTGCACTGACCCTCAGTGGGATGGACAAACGGAAGGGGAAAGAAGAGACCAAAAGGCAAACTCACTTTCTCCTTTATTCTTGTGTCTTAGAAAAGCCATGTTCTGCCCCCCTGCACTTCAGAAACTCACTGCTCCGGCTGTGGTCTCAGGGTGCCACGGTCCAAGGCAGAGTGAAAAGCCACGCACCAAGGCAGAGTGAAAGGCCCAGCACCCAGCTATTGCATCTGCTGGACTTCAAAAGTCTTTTGCACTAAAGTAAACGGATCTTTTGATTCCATTTTTCCTTGAGCTTTTGGAGGCATCCTCATATTAGGTCTACATTTTAGGTAGGTCATATAAGAAAAATTATTTTTCTACAACTTATTTTAAATAAACTCATTAGTCTTCTTAAAAAAATTGAGAGGCAGAGAAATAGAGCTCCCATCTGCTGGTTTATTCTCCAAATGCCTTAACACCTGTGGCAGGGAAGCTAGGAGCTAGGAATTGGGTGGCAGGGACTCACTTGCTTGGCCCATCACCCCTGCCTCCCAGGGTCTGCATTAACAGGAAGCTGGGGTCAGGAGCAAGAGCTGGGCTTTGAATTCAGACATTAAAAAAAGATTTATTTTTATTTATTTGGAAGGCAGAGTTACAGAGAGTGAAAGAGAAGAAAGACAAGTCTTCCATCCACTGATTCACTCCCCAAAGGGCTGTAATGTCTGGAGCTGAGCTGATCCAAAGCCAGCAGCCAGGAGCCTCCTCTGGGTCTCTCATGTGGGTGCAGGGGCCAAGGGACCTGGGCCATCTTCCACTGCTTTCCCAAGTGTATTAACAGGGAGTTGGATCGGAAGTAGAGCAGCCAGGACTTGAACTGGTGCCCACATGGGCTGCTGGTGCTACAGATGGCAGCTTTACCTGCTATGCCACAGCATCGGCTCCTTGTTTCAGTATTTTAACATTGAAATCATTTGTTCTCTTTTACTTTTAAGTCCTTTAATCTTGTCCTTGCTTCTTATGCATACTTCAGCTTCCATAAAATTACAAAATAATTAGTTCATTAATTGGTTAAAGTCCTTCCTCAGAAACAGTGTAACTCAGCTTGGAGTAGAACTTTATTAGGTTGTCATTTATGAGGTGTTTTGCTTTGTTTCTCATTTGTTTTTAGAAATGTATTGGTTTATTCAGGCTATGACAGGAATAACAACACTGTCACCTTGTCACCCCTTGAAGGAGGCGGTTGGCTGTCCACCCACAGGAGGACAGCAGTTAGGCCCATTTCTTCAGAAAGATTTACCTTTTCCAGGAGCTACGCACACCCGGTATCTAGTTTCCCCCCATTTTTGAGATAGGAATTTGCAACTAAAATGGGAAGCATTTTAGTGAGGAAATGGTACCAATTTCGGTATTTAGGGAGAGTCCCTATGCACGGGTGCGGTCCCACCTGTGATTTGAGTCTCACGGAAAGGGAAAGAGCCAAAGCACGAGTGTGCTTCAAAAACCTCCTGGAAAATGGGATTAAAGGGCAACTTTATTCGAAAATGTTTGAAATCCATGCAAACAAGGAGTCTTCAAAAAGCTCTCGAAAAATATGTATTATGAAAAATCATGCAGAGGCTTTGAAAATTTTCTGCAATAAAATAAACTTAACATTTAATTCCATGTGTTCACAAACATTTTGAATTACCCTGGTATTCAACCAACAATGCAAGAATTGATAGATTTTTGGTTTTGCTCTTCAGAGATATTTTAAAACCAGCATTTTTTAGTATCCTATTTCTCAAGGCCAGCAGTTACAATTTCTAATAATTGTTCCCATCAAAAGGGACTTGCTGATGTATCACGAGGGACATTCACAAAACAGAAGCATTTCTTGTGCACCTGCTAAGTACAGGGCCTGTGTCTTCCTTTTTGGATGCCTGCATGGTTGTCTGGTAGAGCCCAAAGCTGGGAGATAGGAAGACAGGGTGAGAGGGCTGGGAATTCGCTGCAGGTTTTCACGTTCTTCGCCCAGGGTTGATTTGATTTTCCGTAATACCCTTTACCTGTGAGTACATGTAGGGGGCACTGCTGTTTTGTCTTGTAACCTGTGCACTTTGAGACTGCTGCAACTGTTCTTGCAAGTTACCAGGCTCATTTGACAACATGAGCAGTTGCCATAGCTGTAGCTCTGCCCAGGTAAGTTTGCAGGGGGCGAGGTCACGGTTGAGCTGCTGTCCTGGTATAGCACGCGACGGGAAAGGCTTCCCCAGGAGTGGTGATACCCAGTGGTGGGGCTCGTCCCCAAGCACCACTGTCCCTAGACGGGGTGGGGGTGGGGAGAGTGACAGGCAAAAGCCCTGGACTGGAATCATGGACTCCCTGCAGGGGCTGTTACAAGGACTGGAAATGAAAGCTGCAGAAGCCCATGGCCCTTTCTGTTTGCTGCTAGCTTCCAGAAGTGAGGGTTTTGTGGCAAAAGCATCTAACCGCTTGTCAAGGACTTCCGATAACTCCGGGACTGAAGAGAATACAAGTTTTTTGGAGAGAAGTGGGATGAAATAATCTGTCTCTGGATAGAATGAGTAGAAGCTGATATTTTTACGTAAATAAAAGTAACTTTCTTCAAACGTCTATTTAAAATTCATTTCTACAAAGAGCTCACAAGAATTTTGATTATGATTCAAAATTTGTCTAAAACTTTTGCTTAAAAATAATCTTTAGCAAATCGGCAATTTCCATGTCTCTGTGTCATCGTTCTTGATTCTTATCCATTTTTTCTTTTATGTCATGTTCACTTTTGTTGTGTTACGTGCCTCTTAATCACGATTTCAGATCTTAAATGTCCACCAGGAAGTAAGAGGTAGGCGCTAGAAGTGAAGACTGATTTCCACGGAACCCAGGTTTCCTTGGTAACACTTTCTGGTGGGAACATGGGAGGTTCCATTTTACTAACATGAGGGTACTTCAGAAAGTTCATGGGAAATGGAATTAAAATACAACTTTGTGGGGCCAGAACCATGGTGGAGCAGGTTAAGCCACGGCCTGTAACAGCGCCAGCATCCCATATGGGCGTCGGTTCGAGTCCCGGCTGCTCCACTTCTGATCCAGTTCCTTGCTAATGTGCCTGGGGGAGCAGCAGAAGATGGCCCAGGCTCTTGGGCCCTTGCACCCACGTGGGAGATCCAGAAGAAGCTCCTGGCTTCAGCCTGGCCTGACCCCAGTTGTTGTGGCCATTGGAGAGTAGACCAGCAGATGAAAGATATTCATTCATTCATTCATTCTCTCTCTCTCTCTCTCTCTGCCTCATCTCTGTGACTCAAATAAATAAATATTTTTTGAAAAAAAAGGATAACTGCTACAAAAAATTTTGAAATCCATGTATAGTTTTCCCCTAATATGCACTTTGCATGAACTTTTTGAAGACTCCTCATATGCATGGATTTCAAAATTTTTTGCACCAAAATAAAGTAATCTTTTAATCTAATTTTCCGCAATTTTTTTTGATGTGTCATATGCAATTTATCTAGGGCTCATTGACTGAAATGGTTTTGACTAAAAATAACCAACAGGAATGGTGTTGCTTTATTGAAAACGTTTGGTGAGCAAGTAGAAGAAAATACAGTTCCAAAGTGTACTTTTGCCTAAATAATATTTACTCAAAATTTTATTCAAGGATTTATAGGAAATATTTTGTTTCCTTTATATGAAGATAATTTTAGTAATTTTTTAAAGATGTATTCATTTATTTGGAAGGCAGAGTTACAGAGAGGCAGAGGCAGAGAGGGAGAGAGAGGTCTTCCATCCGCTGGTTCACTCCTCAAATGGCTGCAATGGTCAGAGCTGTGCTGATCCGAAGCCAGGGGCCAGGAGCTTCTTCTGGGTCTCCCACGTGGGTGCAGGGACCCAGGGACTTGGGCCATCTCCTATTGCTTTCCCAGGCCATAGTAAAGAGCTGGATCGGAAGCATAGCCGGGTCTCAAACCAGTGCCCTTATGAGATGCCTGCACTGTAGACAGCGGCTTTAGCTGCTACACCACAGCTCTGGTCTCAATTTTAATAATTTCATATCAGTAAGTGTGGTTTTATGGACCTTATTACAGTCAAAGGATGTACAAGATGAAATTTGAGATGAAAAAGAAAATACTCCTTATTACTTCTGATGGTTGCCCAGAGCTGTGTTCCTTAAATTCCCAACTGAACTTTTGTAGGGATGAGGGGAAATGCGTAGAAGGAATTCTGGAAATCTTTGACATGCTCTTGGCGACAACTTCGAGGTTCCGTGAGCTAAAGCTGCAACACAAGGAGTACCTCTGCGTGAAGGCCATGGTCCTGCTCAACTCCAGTGAGTAGCCACGTGGCTGGGCCGAGCTCTGGGGGAGAACCTGTGTGACGCTAAAGAGAGTACTGAACTTGTATTTTTGCTAGATAGGGAATGCTGGCTTCCTTTCTGCCTTCTGTTTTAAAATCAGGATTTAAACTGCAGTTAACTTTTGGCAATGTACATGTAAATCATTGAGTAAACTACTGGCAGGCAGTTTAAAAAGTGGTTCAAGCCACTTGCCAGAAAAACAAAAAATGGACTTTCCAATGTTTACCTTTCAGGCTCTTGTCCATGCTCATTCCGACATTTCCCATGGTGAAAGCATTTGTGTTTAATGTTTTGGGATCTCCTTTTTACAGGCTCACTTATTCATTTGTTTGTTCAGAAAAGGCATTTGACACACTGTCCTGCCCTCAGGTACTGCGTGGTGTGTGCTGGGGGAGGGGGAGAGGACAGATCATTAGACAGAGATCTCAGTGCTGGAATCAGGTGTGTACAGAATACTCTGAGAAAACAGGAGTGTTGAGGTTGATTTGTTCTGAGAGGATTCGTTCTGAGAGGAGGAGCGTGGTGGGGGCAAGAGGCACAGAGTCACCACGCAGACCCTGGGAGTTGGATGAGAGCAGGCCTGAGGCAAGCAGCCTGCAGACTCGTTTATTTCAGTTGCTACAGCTGCTTATATAGTAAGGCAGCCAATCTGGTCAAGGGGCGGTCTATGCCCCAACCAATCACAGCCTGTTGCCAGGCCGGCTCCAACGCCATCCAATCACAGCCTGTTGCCAGTCAGGCTCTGTTGCCAGGCAGTTTCTGAAACCATCCAATCAAAGCCTGTTGTCAGGCTCTGTTGCCAGGCAGTTTCTGAAACCATCCAATCACAGCCTGTTGTCAGGCTCCGTTGTCACGTGGTTTCTGAAGCCATCCAATCACGGCCTGTTGCCAGACAGTTTCTGTTGTCAGCAGCCATCTTGGCATGACCTTTTCACCTCAGCGGCCATCTTGGCATGACCTTTTCACCTTTGCATTCCACCACGTTTCCCCCTTTTCGTTTATTTTTGAGCAGCAGGAGGCATGATTCTTGGCCATACCATTGTTGACGGCGTTTTCATGTGGTCTCCGTACGCGGCTGTGCCTGTCTTAGGTTGTCCCCCAGGGGATCTTACCCGTCATTGACTAACCAGTGCTCAAAACAAGAGACCACAGGATTACTTGCTCAGATAGGGGTAGGAATGAGGAATAATGGTTATCAGGAATGGCATGACTGCACACAAGCTGTGGGCCATTCAAGTGGCTGACCAGAGCTAATGGGGTACAAAACGGTAATGGATGTGGCTATGGGCAGATTCTCAGGTTAGGAGGATAGGGTAGGTGTGTCAACAAGGCGGACTCTAGTCTTGTTTAGCTGGTTCTGGTTGGCTGTCAGTTGCAGGCTTGACATTATTTCAGTTGGTACAACAGCTTATATGGCCAAGACAGCCAATCCGGTCAAGGGGCAGTTTATGCCCTAACCAGTCACAGCCTATTGCCAGACAGGCTCCAAAGCCATCCAATCACAGCCTGTTGCCAGGCAGGCTCCATTTGCCAAGTGGTTTCCAAAGCCATCCAATCACGGCCTGTTGCCAGGCAGTTTCTGTTGTCAGCGGCCATCTTGGCATGACCTTTTCACCTTCTCATTCCACCACACAGCAGTAGGACAAAGGCTGGAGTGACTGCACAAGGGAGTGATGTGCATTCAGGGAAGAGCAGAGGTGCTGGGTAAGGTTCAGAACACAGCACTGCAGATCATAAATGGCTGCTTTGTGCACCGGGCAGCCTTGGGAGAGGGTCAGATGGGACTGTGTGCCCAGGTGTGCACCACAGAAGGGTCACATGCAGGACTGACTGGAAAGGGGAGAGACCGAGGCTGGGCGCCTGCTAGACACAGCAGCAACCTGCACTGGGAGGAAGAGCGTGCGCCTGAGGGAAGTGGAGGTGATGACGAAGGTATTTAGGATTCTGGTTTCTTCTGGTAATACCTGGTTATTGTGAACATTCAAACAAATGAAAAGCATACAAGGAAGAATATTAAAATCACCAGGAATAGTCCCTCCCCCAAATAACTACCATGACTTTGGTCATTGTTCTCAAATTTAATTTTATTTGAGAGGCAGAGAGATGGATGGGCTGAGAGCCCCATCCACTGGTTTGCTCCCCGTATGCCCACAGCAGCCAGGGCTGAGTTGGATGAGGCTGAAGCCGGGAGCTAGGAACTCCGGCCAGGTCTCCCTGCCTCCCGTGGCCTGCATGAACAAGAAGCTGGAATGAGGAGCCAGAGCCGGGTATCACACCCAGGTACTCCAGTGTGAAATGTGGGTGTCTTCGATGTCTTAGCCACCAGGCCAAATGTAAATCACCCTTCCTCAGTAGTGCTCTGTCTCTCCCTACAGAGTTCATGCAAAATTCAGATTATAAAAAAATGCATGAACTCCATGGTTTTTCTGCATCAAAATAAACTTAAAATTTAACTCCCCCTTTCCTTGAACTTTTGGAATTTCTGTCAAGTGTGTGTAGATAGCTAGAAAGAGAGAACGGAATACCAAGTAACCCATTTTAGCAGCTGAAGAGTACACTTTAGACTTTTTCCTGTCCTCTAGTAATGATTTAAAAAAAAAAAAAAAGACATTCAAATTTTATTTTCCAACAAACAGACAAGCATCAGCAGGTACAACTCCAGAGGTGTCTCTGTAGATCTTACATTCACAAGGCATCATTAGCTCAACAGTGAGCGCCACTGGCGTGTTCTCTGTAGCATCCACTTCACAGTGTAAACAGCTGTCATCATTGTGTTCACTTACAATTCCAGAAGGAAAGGCACAACTTGGCAAAACGTTTTCGATCCTAAAGTCAGGTGCAATAACTAAGAGGAACTCTGGGTAACAGTCCTGACCCACGTTTCAAAGAGGGTCTCCTCCCCCGAGACGAGAGGGTCTTCCTCTTTGCTCGCTAAACCAGTGGAGCAACGTCTCAACACCAGCTCCGTGTCACTACGTGGACAAGAGGCGTTTTAAAAAAAGGAATCACGAAAGTCCAGCTGCTCCCACCAGCGTCAACCGTTCGGCTTAAAGACAGGACCTGGGAATACTTCAGTGGTCATAAAATAGGAAAATAGAGACTATGGCTACAAAAATAAAACATAAATGAGGTAGATAAATGAAAGCTTTTACACCCAGGACTCGCCTGTTCCAACTTCGTAGCCTTCATGCAATACTCAGGGGGAAAAAAAATCTTCGTAATTACTTGGCATAAATAGCATCAAGGAAAACAAACAAACAAAAATCAGTATGTGAGCCCGTGATAGGAAACACTTCCTTCTCTGAGTTTAAGAATGAAACCCCAGGGACTTCTCAACCGACCCGGCACCGGGAACTGCATGGAGTCGGTGGAGACCGCCCGCTCAGGCGCCCACCCCTTCTGGGGTGTGGGAGGACTGAGACACCTGGGCAGCTTTGGCAATACAAGGGAACTCCTGGGGCTCCACAGGAACTGTATTTAAATAAGCAGCAACACACACGTTGACTCCCTAAGGCCCAACATCTGTCCATTTAAGGACATCCTCCATAAGGTTCTAAGGCTGAAGGAAGTTTGGAATTCTACAACCTTAGTTGTTTTTTTTTTTTTTTTTTTTTTTTTTTTGACAGGCAGAGTGGACAGTGAGAGAGAGAGAGACAGAGAGAAAGGTCTTCCTTTGCCATTGGTTCACCCTCTAATGGCCACCGTGGCCAGCGCGCTGTGGCGGGTGCACTGCACTGATCCGAAGGCAGGAGCCAGGTGCTTCTCCTGGTCTCCCATGGGGTGCAGGGCCCAAGCACCTGGGCCATCCTCCACTGCACTCCCGGGCCACAGCAGAGAGCTGGCCTGGAAGGGGGCAACCGGGACAGAATCCGGCGCCCCGACCAGGACTAGAACCTGGTGTGCGGGCGCCGCAACGTGGAGGATTAGCCTAGTGAGCTGCGGCGCCGGTGCTTTTCATTTTTTTTTTTTTAAAGATTCATTTTTATTTGAAAGACGACCAGGAACGGTAGAGAAAGAGGGCAGCCAGGAGCCTGGAACTCCATCTGAGTCTTCCATGTGGGTGGCAGGGACCCAAGCGCTTGGGCCATCTTCCACTGCTTTGCCAGGAGCATCCACAGGGAGCTGGATCAGAAGTAGAACAGCCAGGACTCAAACCAGCACCCTGATGTGGGATGCTGGGGACACAGCAAAGGCTTACCCGGCAGCACACGACAATCCCGAAACTTTTCATTCCATGAGAGGACTGCAGCCTGGCCAGCGTTGTGGTGCAGCGGGTTAAGCCACCTCCTGCAGCACTGGCATTCCACGTGAGCACTGCAGCTCCACTTCCCACAGCTCCCTGCGAGTGCACCTGGGAGAGTAGCAGAAGATGGCCCGAGCACTTGGCCCTGCCACCCACGTGGGAGACCCAGATGGAGTTCTGGGCTCCTGGCTTCAGTCTGGCCCAGCTCTAGCCATTGCAGCCACTGGGGAGTGAGCTCGGGGCTGGAAGATTTCTCTCTCTGTGTCTTCCTCTAACTCTGCCTTTCAAATAAATAAATCTTAGAAAGTAAGCAAACCAGGCAATCCAATTTAAATTAGACAAGCAGACAAACTTGGCATATCCCTCACAAAAGCTGGTCAGTCTTCTGGGGTTTTATTAGACATCTCAGACTTTCTGATTGGTTTGCTCCAGTCCAGTGAAGTTTATATTGTCCCCTTGGAGCACCTAGGACAGGCGCATCTGTGATTTGTGCGTATGGGGATGCCATCAGATGGGCGGGGGAGGGAGCTGAGCAGCTGTTCCCTGGGGGACAAAGGGGAGAGGAGAGAGTGTCCTTGATTTTGTTTCCTTTTTTCTTTCTTTTTTTTTTTTTTAAGATTTATTTATTTATTTGAAAGGCAAAATTACAGAGAGAGAAAGAGGTTTTCCATCCACTCTCCAAATGGCTGCAATGGCCATAGCTGAGCCGATCTGAAGCCAGGAGCTTCTCCTGGGTCTCCCACGTGGGTGCAGGGGCCCAAGGACTTGGGCCATCTTCTGCTTTCCCAGGCCATAGCAGAGAGCTGGATCGGAAGTGCAGCAGCTGGGACTAGAACTTGCACCCATATGGGTGCCAGCACCGCAGGTGGCGGCTTTACCTGCTATGGCGTAGCACCAGCCCCTTGTTTTCCTTTCTTTGGTATGTGTGGGCCAAGATTATGCCAAGATCTTGTCTTTTTCTTTAGATTTCTTTAGTTTCATGAAAAGTAATTCAATTTTGTTTTATTTTACACTGAGTCTTTTTTTTTTAAAGAAAGATTTATTTTATTCATTTGAAAGAGTTACACAGAGAGGAGAGGCAGAGAGCGAGAGGGAGAGGGAGTCTTCCATCCAATGTTTTACTCCCCAGTTGGCTGCAAAGGCCAGAGCTGCGCCCATCAAAAGCCAGGAGCCAGTAGCTTCTTCTGGGTCTTCCTAGGAGGTGCAGAGGCCCAAGGACTTGGGCCATCTTCTGCTTTTCCAGGCTATAGCAGAGAGCTGGGTCAGAAGTGGAGCAGCAGGGGACTCAAACCGGTGCCCATATGGGATGCTGGCGCTTCAGGCCAGGGTGTTAACCCACTGCTTTAAAGCGCTGGCCCCATACAATGAGTCTTAAGTAATATTTTTACTTCTTGATGGTACAAGGAAGTTTTAATTATTATTTTTGTGTCCGATTGGGCAGGGCTTTTTGTCTTGTCTCTTGCCCCTGCTCAGGGTCAGCCACTTAACTGTTCTGTAGGATGTGGTAGGTGAGGGACAGGTGTATACACGATGTTTGAAGAGAGAGGTGGTGGAGTATTTTTAAATTTAATTAATCCATTAATTTGAAAGTCAGTGACAGGCAGAGAGAGAGAGAGGGAGACAGAGGTCTTCCATCTACTGGTTCACTCCCCAGATGGCTGTGAGGGCCAAGGCTGGGCCAGTCTGAAGCCGGGAGCTCGACCAGGTCTCCCACATGGGTGGCAGGGACCCAAGTAATTGGAGCATCTTCTGCTGCTCTTCCCAGGCCATTAGCAGGCAGCTGGATCAGTAGTGGAGCAGTAAGACTCAAACCAGTGCCCACGTGGGGTGCCGGCACTGCAGGCAGCAGCGTAACCCACAGTACCACCATGGCGGCCCCATTTTTTTTCTAGTAGTAGAAATCCAGAGAGCACATCACTGAGCAGAGCAGGCCCAAAGGTAGTTTAGAAAAGGCACTTGTAATAAGGGGTTATTATAATAATATTTTTATTTTTATTTATTTATTTATTTATTTTGACAGGCAGAGTGGACAGTGAGAGAGACAGAGAGAAAGGTCTTCCTTTGCCGTTGGTTCACCCTCCAATGGCCACCGCGGCCGGCGCGCTGTGTCCGGCGCACCGCGCTGATCCGATGGCAGGAGCCAGGTACTTACCCTGGTGTCCCATGGGGTGCAGGGCCCAAGTACTTGGGCCGTCCTCCACTGCAGAGCGCTGGCCTGGAAGAGGGGCAACCGAGACAGAATCCGGCGCCCCGACGGGACTAGAACCTGGTGTGCCGGCACCGCAAGGCGGAGGATTAGCCTAGTGAGCCGCGGTGCCAGCAGGTTATTATAATACTATTATATTATATTATTATATAATAATAGCTGGGTCGGATTTAGAGAAAGCTTCAGGTAATTTTCCCTGCATTTTCCATTCGTGACTCCCTGTGTGCAGAGTGCTGACGTGCACATTAACATCACATTCACCCTTTGAGTTATGATCACCTGAGAACAGACTTGAATGCGTGCAGATTCAGGCTGCTCCCTCCAGTAGGTAAGGACTTGCTGCACCCTGGGCGTCGTGGTTGCTGATGGGAATGAAATGACAAACAGGCAGAGCCTGTGTCCTCAGAGCACTTTCTGTCCAGCACTGCTGCCAGTGAGAGGCGGCTGGGTGGTGGCTGAGGGCTGTGGGGCAGTGTGGCGCCTCTGCGCTGCTGCCGATGTGGGGAGCACTCAAGCCCTCCTTACGCTGTGGTGGTAGGGAGGTCGGGAAGCTTCTAGAAGGAAGTTCATGGTGAGGCTGGGATCGAAGGGAGGAATGTGTATCAGTACACGAGACGGGAAGGGAGTGCGGAGCCAGGACCGCGTCCCGAGCAGGAAGTTGAGCCTCCGCAGCAGCGCCCCGTCCAGGAAGCTCAAAGAGGAATTCAGCATCAGGTCGCGTCGGCTGCAAGACGACAGGATCAGATCCTGGAGCCGGGGCTGGCAGGATCGGCTGCTTACGGTGCCCAAGCAGCGGTGGACCTGTAAGCTTTGCTCTACGAGGAGCCGGGTCCCTTCACAGGGCTGGAGAGGGGTGCAGAGCCTGACCCCAACCCCGGGGTCTCCCTGCCCCAGCACCGTGCCGAGGACCCAGGCAGAGGCGGCGCGGCTGCGTGGGGCATGTGGGGCACGTGAGGGCTGGGCAGCGGGGCTTTGCAGCAGCGGCCTGAGCTTACATGTGTTAAACTCCCCCGAGCTGAGGAGCCTCCCGTCCTGATGGTCCCTGTGCGTGCATGTGCTGCAGCCGAGAAACCCCACGTGCTGATTGGAGGTGCCTGGATACATTCACTGCTGTGCCGAGGGCACCGTTGGGCCAGGTGGGCACTCTGGGAGGTCATTTAGTCGGCTGTGTGTGCAGCCAGGCTTCCCTTCTGCTGGCGCTGGCTCGGGAGGAGCCCCCGGGAGAGGGAAGCTGTGCTCCGAAGGCCGTGCCCGTGTGGCTGGCAGAGCAGTGCCCGTCAGCACGGCCTCCTGGAGAACGTAGGTGGCTTAGCGGCCGAGCCCAGGACTCGCTTTGCTCAGTGGTGACTTGGGGGCTGTGACTCTTTGTCCAGGTATGTGCCCTCTGGCTGCGGCCGCCCAGGAGGCTGAGAGCAGCCGGAAACTGACTCACCTGCTGAACGCCGTGACCGACGCTTTGGTCTGGGTGATCGCCAAGAGCGGCATCTCGGCCCAGCAGCAGTCGGTCCGCCTGGCCAACCTCCTGATGCTCCTCTCCCACGTCAGGCATGCCAGGTACGGGCCCAAGGCCATCCCCGGGGACGAGGGGTGGGGCCTGCTTGGAGGAGGGGCGCAGGTTTGGGGGGGTGGGTCAGGTAGAGTTGTCACCTTTTCAGGACAGTGAAACCCTTAAAAGGGGTAGGGGTGGGTCATCAATTCACATGCCTGTCACCAGGAAGCAGCACAGAGTGGGTGTTGGACCCGCGTCCCATGCAGCCTTGCAGGCTCATGTGTGTTTAGGTGCTGGGGCTCAGAGCTTGTCTGGAGTCTTGCGGTGGGTAGTTCTTTCCCTAAAATGAGCCAAGCCCCGTGGCCTGCCCACACCAGCCACGGCTGACACTGAGGTCGTTTCCACAAAGTGGCTAAGTCTGGTTTTCCCATGGTGCCTCGGGCCTGCCCCGGGTTCCTCCTTTCTTCCTGTGGCATCGGGACTTTAAGGCTGAGCCGAAGAGAGAACTGGCACATCCCAGGGCGGGAAACATGAACGTGGACGCAGCAGGGACACTGGTGCTCGGTGCCCTTGTGGGGAGGAGGGTCACCTCAGGGATTCTCACGGAGGGAGGAAGTGTGGAGGCCTCTCCCCTGCAACCGTTTGCAGCACAGAGCTGGCCGACTGTTAGTGTTTGCAGCTCCCGTGGGAGGGTGCGTCGCAGTGTAGGGAGGAAATGTGAATTATGAAAAAAATAGGCATGCATTTCAAACTTTTTAAAAAAATATTTATTTTAGTTATTTGAAAGACAGAGTTACAGAGAGAGGTAGAGACAGAGAGATAGAGAGAAGTCTTCCATCTGCTGGTTCACTCCCCAGATGGCTGCAATGGCCGGAGCTGCGCCAGTCTGAAGCCAGGAGCTTCTTCCGGGTCTCCCATGTGGGTGCAGGGGCCCGAGGACTACGGCCATCCTCTGCTGCTTTCCCAGGCTACAGCAGAGAGCTGGATCAGAAGTGGAGCAGCCGGGACTAGAACCGGCACCCATACAGGATACCAGTACCTCGGGCCGGGACTTTAATCTGCTGTGCCACAGCGCTGGCCCCTCAAACCTCTTCAAACCAAAGTTAACTTACTTTTTATTCCATTTTCCACGGACTCTTTGACCTACCCTCGCGTTTGCGCGTTCACCTGCTTGCTACAACGCACTCGTGCAGCAGTCCTGAGCAGGCTGACACACGGATCCCCAGCAGAGGCCGCGTGGGCAGGGCCTCTGCCCTTTTGTTTGGGCGCTCACGCCGTGGAATGTCCTCTACACGATCTGTTTTGTGCTGTGTTTTCCTATTTTTGTGGATGGCTTTTGTTGTCTAAAATGGTGCCCCAGCCCCATGCTGAAGTACCGTCCGTTTCCTGGTGCATGGAAGCTGTGATGTGCCTCCCGGAGAAACACACCGTAGAGAAGCTTTGTTCAGATTTGAGTGACGGTGCCGTTAGCCGTGCGTTCACTGTTACTTTATCCACATTACATGCCACGCAAGGTGTCTTTAAACAGGAACGCACGTAACAGAAGGTTACGTGTCGACTGGCTGAGGAAGATGTGACTAGAAACCCCGTAGGAGCAGGGGTTCAGTGCTCACTAATCAGTGTTCAGTAATGAGACGCCGTCATCCTGTGTTCCAGGAGCCGTATCCGGCCACGGTGGGTGGGCGGTGGGACACAGAGGTGGACAGGGCGTTGTCCTCGCCCTTGAGTGGTGGACACCGGAGCCTGGAACAGTGGGCTGGGGAAGCGGGAGGGGTCGGGCTGGGGTGGCCTGGCCCTGTGCTGCAGAGCTGGGGACGTCGGCCCTCCCACGGCTGTTGCTGGGGGCTGACGCTCAGTGCCCTTGTGTCCCCGCAGTGACAAGGGCATGGAACACCTGCTCAGCATGAAGTGCAGAAACGTGGTCCCGGTGTACGACCTGCTGCTGGAGATGCTGAACGCCCACACGCTGCGTGGGCACAGGCCCGCGGCCACGGCGCCCGGCCCGGCCGAGGACAGGAAGGGCGCAGAGGGGCCCCAGAACCCGCAGTGACGCCCGGCCTGCCACGCAGGCCCACAGAGGAGACGGGAGTGTGAACCCGCAGGCCGTGAGTCTGGGCTGCTTCCTCCTGCTGTGCGGCCCCTCGCGTGGTCACGCCGTGAGTGGACCCTTGCTGTCCTCGCCAGGGGCCAGGGCAAGAAGCCACAGTTTCCTTGTTATCACCGGTGCCCTTAGAGGCAGGTTCCGTCTCGCATGGCCTCTGAGGGTCTCTGTACTGTCCCTTCCTTCCCATCTCCCTGCCAGTCCTTTAGAAAACAGTTGGAGCGAATGGGGACTCTGACCTGGACGGGTGCACATTGGACGGGGGGAGGATGTGACGCACTTGCAGGAAGTGGACCCATCCTCACTGTGCGACCTACGCTGTCCTTAGGCTCAGCCGCTGTGTCTTCTCGGCCATTTGGTTGTAGCACCAAAACCACAACGACACGTCCACTCTCACAGGCCTGGGGGACTGATGCCATGTTATCGTCACTGCCCACCAAAGGCCAGAGGGACTGGCCAGGCTGGGCCATGTGCTCCTTCCCCAAGGCCCTGCTGTGGTCTGCACACAGGTGTGCCCCTCTTGATTTGCATTCGTATCTGCTAAGTATCTGGGCTGGGTGACTGCGTGTGGTCACTTTCGTGGAGGATTAAGGGAGGTGCAAGTCTCTCTCGTGCCTCAGGCTTGCCCTTCCTTGAAACCTGTCTTGCGTGCTGGAGAAAACCCTTGGGTGTTCAGGAGTGGGATTCTCTCCTGCAGCCGCAGTGTTCCTTAGGGTGTTAACACACGCAGGATCCAGTGTGCATGACCTCATCAGTAGCAGCCACACCACCACATGAAGGTACCCAGAGGAGACGGGGGCAGCCTGTGGGCGCATGGCGCACAGTGCGGTCCGTGGGAGGCTGGGTAGCTACGTCCACGGCAGGACCTTTGATGCCAGACTGTAGGGAGCTGACGGGCAACACCGTCTGAGCACGACCTAGTTTGTCAATTCTCCATAAGAAAGAGAAACGTGGGGATAATTATTTATCACAAGAAAGAATTCTTTATACCTTAGGGATCTTTTAAAATATTTTCTTATCAGAAGATTTATATGGAGGACTGGAAGAAATAGAAACTTAGTAAAAACATTGGAACAGAAATAGGACCGTTGAATGGACAATTTTTACTTGCCTTTTCAAATGGCAAATTTTCAGACACATTTTTGAGAACACGGGGAAGGCATAAAACAAGTAAGTGCTGTACTTTGGAAGTGAGCAATTCACTAGTTATATTTTACTTTTATGGTAACGTTTTTAAGAATTAAGTCCGTACTTCTTGAAGATAGGTTTACCTTGGCTCGCCCAGCTGTATTTACTAAGTCATTAGGAAGATGAAATTTAATGCCACGAAGGCTGCTTTCCAATCGTGAAGCTTGGAATGATTCTTCATTTTTCTGTTGGCGTGTTACTGACAGTTGAGCTGGCTGTTTCAGACGCTTGGACACGCACCTAGTTCTAGACCACGCCGACACCCGTATCCTCAGGAGCTTGTCATGAGTCTCTGTGGCTCAGCGTCACAGTGTTAGCAAGACTCGGTACACGGAACACACACCGAGCTGCGTGGGACCAGGGAGCCACTGTTGTCCAGGGGGCGGGTTTCCTCGGGGCCAGGCTGGAATTCTAGCACAGGGGCAGGAAGCTGGAGAGTAGGAAGTGGTGGTGGATTTGCCAGTGAAATCCCATGGATTGGAGCTTTCAGAGAGACTAACAGATAAGAAAAGCTGAATGGGGTGTGAGCGTTGCCTAGTTAATATATAGTGGAGTGAGTTTTTTTAGGTTGACTTCTCACACCCAAGGAAGATCCCTGATTGAACTCCAGTTCAAGGGCAGCCAGTGGCCGTTAGTTACGTTCTTGTATGTTTCTGGAGGCTGCTGCTTTTACTTACTACCTAACACTTTCGACCGTGTCGTCTTGGCTCAGGTCTCTCAGTGTGCTGGGGACACAGGGTCCGTCCACCCTGAGGGCTCCCTCAGTTCATGGTGTCCTTTCTTGTTTTCCAAAAAAAAATAGTTTATTTATTTGAGAGAAAGAGAGGGCGAGAGTTCCCGTCCACGAATTCACTCCCCGGGGCCCAGGACAGCCCCTGGTCGGGGTGGGACAGAATTGGGAGCCAGGAATTCAGTTGGGGGTCTCGCTCGTGGGTGGCAGGAACCACAGTACTCCAGCCCTCGCTACGGCTCCCCAGGCCTGCGTGTGCAGGAAGCTGGCACGGGAGGGGAGCCAGGGCTCTGAGGTGGGCGCAGGCATCTTAGTGCCCCACAGCTGTGTTTTACTTGGGATTAGGAGCAAGCAGACGGCTGAAACGTGGTCTGTGCCCGCATGGTGGCTTTGGTGTGGGCTGGCCCGGAGCCCTTCCTCCCGCACTCAGAGGAACCCGGTGTCTCCTCCCTTCTCTCGACGCCCCCTTTAAGGGTGACGTGCGTTTTGTGTGTCATGTTGTCATTTTTGAGTGTAAGGCAAATCCTAAATGTTCATTTTTTTTTTTTTTGACAGAGTGGACAGTGAGAGAGAGAGACAGAGAGAAAGGTCTTCCTTTGCCGTTGGTTCACCCTCCAATGGCCACCACGGCTGGCGCGCTGCGGCCGGCGCACAGCACTGATCCAAAGGCAGGAGCCAGGTGCTTCTCCTGGTCTCCCATGGGGTGCAGGGACCAAGCACTTGGGCCATCCTCCACTGCACTCCCTGGCCACAGCAGAGAGCTGGCCTGGAAGAGGGGCAACCGGGACAGAATCCCCCGCCCCGACCGGGACTAGAACCCGGTGTGCTGGCGCCACAAGTGGAGGATTAGCCTAGTGAGCCGCGGCGCTGGCCTAAATGTTCATTTTGAAGGTTGGCCTTTCACGGTGCTCTGTTTCACTGTTTCACACGTCGTCTTTGGAGGTGCTGCGAGTGGAAGGGTGGCATCCGCCCTCCCAGAGAGCCCGCGCTCCTCTAGGGCAGCTCGCCTAAGCAGGAGTCTCGCTGCTTCAAGTTCAGTTTTTAAAAGGAATCAGTGAGGGAGACGAGGACTGACAGCGGGAAAGAGGAATTAAACTGCGTGTTGGAACAAAAATCCACTGCTGTGTGCAGATGAGAACAAGCAATCAGCCCTGTCTCAGACTAGCAGGCCTGGTTTCCCTCCTTCCATTTTAATCTGTAAGTGATCACTTCAGAAGGAAAAGAGGGGCCGGCCTTGTGGCCAGGGGTGCGCTGTGCGTGGGACGCTGGCACCCCACACTGGCGCACCAGTTCAAGTCCTGGCTGCTGCACGCTTCTGGTCCAGCTTCCTGCTCATGCACCTGGGGGGCAGCAGGTGACAGTCAAGTCCCCGGGCCCCTGCCACCATGTGGGAGACCGGATGGAGTTCCTAGCTCCTGGCTCTGGCCCGGCCCAGCCCTGGCTGTTGTGGGCTTTTAGGGAGTGAACCAGCAGATGGAAGATATTCTCTCTCTCTGTCTCTCTCTGTCTCTCTCTCTCTCTCTTGCTCTGCTTTTCAAGTAGATCAAAATAAACATGAAAAAGAATAAGGAAAACCTATTTGTAGGAGATGAATGAGATTTGATCTTACATGGGATCACACAGACAGATTTCAGTGATGATGAAGTAGTTACCATGGACATTCTCCCTGCAGAGTCCGCAGACTCCCGGGCATGCACTGGCCCTCGGGAAGACGAGCGTGGACAGTGCCGCTAGGGCAGCAGGCTGTTTGCCCAGTGCGTTCTCTTCTAGTTGAGTCTCCCTGTTCTCTCGGCACCATCGGTCTGGCCGCTGTTCACCAGGACTAACTACCAAAGACCCACCCCAGAAGTAATCCTGACGAGATTTTTTTTTTTCATGAAAAATTGAGGTAGGAACACAAGACAAGGCTGTCAGCCTGATGACACATTTGAGGAGGCTTAAGCATATTCAAACAAAGCAGTACAGAATCAGCCAAGCTTTGCGGGGAGTTCATTTATCTGGGTTACCTCACCTCTGAAGTCAGCTGGAAGGCCAATTATTTTAGAATTTAGTAAAGAAAAAAAATCAGTTTCCAATTCTTAGCAGTGCCATTTTATAGATTCATATACATTTTATATGTGTATTTATAAGCTTAATTGAAGTGATTGTAGAATTTTCTAGCACATGGAAGTAGGGTGTGGTTCTTATTTATTAAATATCTTGCACATGTTGACATCTTTTTAAATTCAAGGGGAACCTTCAATCTTCGGGTCTATTTTGAAACAAAGTACTTTTATTTAATGAGATCTGGCACATCTAAGCTGCTAAAAATCTTTGAAAAGCATAAAGATTATGTAGAGAAAATGGTAAACACATGTAATTTGGTACCTAAAAGTAGCACTTGCATAGTATTTGCCACGTGCCAGACACCGCTCTCGGGCCTCTCACAGTCCATTCTGCTAACAATTGCTCTTCTACCTTTCTGGCCGTGGGAGCCTGGGAGCCTGGGAGCCTGGGAGCCTGGGAGCCTGGGAGCCTGGGAGCAGACTTGCTAAGGGCGATAATGGAGGGAGTGAGAGAGGCTGGTGAACTCGGGCAGGCCAAGTCCAGTGCTGAAAACGCTCGTGCAGTTCAACTCGCTAAAACAAAATACTGAAGAGAAAACACACCTAACCCCCGGCATTCATCCGTCATACACATCCCGACGTGTGGCAGCTGCGGCTGTGCAGGCCCAGAAACAGCTTCTAAAGCTCTAACAGAGAAGTCCAGTTCCATCTTCTACGCAGGTGCACATTACAGCCCAGAGCCGCACAGATACCTGCTCAGTCATCAACTGCAGTGGCCAAGGGGGGCTTGGAATTCGAGTCTTCCGCTTGCCTGGCCAGGCTCGCTTCTGTTTGACCTGCCACTTGACCGGTCTCACCGGGGGAGGGTTAGGACTGCCAGCTCCCCAACTTACATGGGGTCTGCACGAACCTTTCTAGAACAGCTCGACGACAGGCAGAAGAAACAAGAGAATTGTGGTCTTCCTGCTCCCCCATCCCGGCCGGCAACCCAGGGGCACGCCCCTCCACCTGCCCTTTACTGCTCTCCCACGTGCACTGGCTGGAGCGCATTCCTTGTGCGCCTACCGCTGTAAAACTCTTGTATCTTCGCTACTGCTGCTGCTTGGTGGAGTTTGGTATACTGTTGTGTGAGGATACACGCTGTTCGTTCTTAGAGCTCTCAAATCCGCTGGAATTTTGGCTTAAGTGGGAGCTCTAAGGGGTGCATCATCTGGTGATACAGTGATCATCTTCTCACCTTTTAACTGTCATCAAGGAGCTGCCTTTTTTTTTTTTTTTTTTTAATTCCGGGAATGTTACTCCTGGGGCCAGCCACTGTTATTTGATGGCGAGCCAAGGCTTGGTGACGCCAGCCCAGAGCAGGTCCTGTTTATGGCTAATCAATGTTGTTTTGCGCTGTGTTTTCTGGGTTGGGTGTCTGAGTGCCATGGATACTGGTCCCAGCTATTGCTCAATGCTTCTGTGTGCCTCGGAGCCTGGCGGTTGCCCGTCCCTTGTCGTCTCTGCAGACAACTGCTTTGACCGTTGGTCCAGTACGCGGAGCGCCATTCACAAGCTTCAACCGCGCGCCTTTTCAGAAGTGAACGTCTGCTGTGGTGTGAGCAGACGCAGACCTGCTTCCCTGTGTCCCTCCCACGCCTACAGAACTGCTGCAGAGTTTAATGTGACTATAAATAAAGTGGTTTTCATAACTTTGGTTTAAAAAATGTGTTTGTCGGGGGTGTGAGAACTAGAGTGATCAGAGGCGGCACTGGGCATTGGCATTCGGCTCTGGATTCGCTTCTGTGTGGGGTTTGCCGAGCCCTTTGAGGATTTGATAACCTCAGGGCAGCCTCGGAGAAGCTGTTCCATAGGAAGGTGAGGCCGGGGTGCGCCAGGAGGCTCTGAAGTGCAGCACCAACCCGGCCTTGCCCCGGGGCCGGCCTTCGGGGCCAGAGAGGCCTCAGTCACCGTGTTCCTGAGGACGGGAAGATGCCAGGGTTTCAGGAAGTTCACGGGAAGGTGAAATGACAAGGTGCTGTGGTGTGAACAACTTCCTGAAAATCTACACGTAGCTTTTTTCATAATACACGGTTTCCACGAACTTCATGAAAAAAGCTACGTATGGATTTCACAAACATTTTCGAGCCAGAATTTTTAATTCCATCCTCTGTTTTTTGAAGTCTGGACACAGAGTGGGAGATCTCGGAGACACTTTGTCTTTTGCCTCAAGGCTACAATGGAGCAGACCACTGAAAGGAGAAGTTTAACACTTTCACTGCTGGGATCATTGTCTTCAGTGGAAAAGGTGATTAAAATGCTTGGAGGGGGCCGGCGCCGTGGCTCACTAGGCTAATCCTCCACCTTGCGGCGCCGGCACACCGGGTTCTAGTCCCGGTCGGGGCGCCGGATTCTGTCCCGGTTGCCCCTCTTCCAGGCCTGCTCTCTGCTGTGGCCCGGGAGGTCAGTGGAGGATGGCCCAAGTGCTTGGGCCCTGCACCCCATGGGAGACCAGGAGAAGTACCTGGCTCCTGCCTTCGGATCAGCGCGGTGCGCCGGCCACAGCACACCGGCCGTGGCGGCCATTGGAGGGTGAACCAACAGCAAAAGGAAGACCTTTCTCTCTATCCACTCTGCCTGTCAAAAAAAAAAAAAAAAATGCTTGGAGGGTACATGGTATGTCAGTTGTAACCATTGAAACACTGAAGGTAGAGTGAAGACAGATTCTTTCCACACGGTTCCTGCACACTAGGGCGTGTTAACTGCACGGATCTTACGGGTGTCGGGCCCAGGAGGCGCCCAGCCCCGTGTTGAGTCTCAGATCCATATAGGGTGAGCTTCGTTGGTGCTGGGTCTATGCTTGTCAGAACGAAACTGTGTAGTCAGTGGGGGTTCCGAGTGCTGGGACTGCGCTCAAGGAAGGAGACACGGCTTCTGGGACTGCTCTCAAGGAAGGAGACACGCTGACGTTTTCTGTTTAGGTGGAAAGTAGGTGGCTTTGCCCGTCACATACTTGAGTATCTGTTACAGGTCTGGTAGCCCCAGTACAAAAATCTGGACTATTCCAGAATCTGAAAGCTTGTAGAGCACCTGTAGGATGCCACAAGTGGAAAATTCCACATGACGAAACACTTGTTCCAGGCACAAAACTATTAAAAATAATTATACAAAATTGCCTTCAAGCTATGTAGATAATGCGTGCAAGGAAGAAAAAGTTCTGCTTGGTACAAAAAGTTTTGACATTGGAGCTGGCATTATGGCATGGGGGTTAAGCCTCCACTTGCAATGCCAGCATCCCATGTGGATGCTGGTTCATGTCCCGGCTGCTCCACTTCCACCCAGCTCCCTGCTAACACACCTGGAAAAGTAGTGGACGATGACCCTGGTGCTTGAGCCCTGCACTCACCTGGAAGACCCAGAAGAAGCTTCGTGTTTCATAAACAAATTCTAATATACAAAAACATTTTGAAATCCTTGCAGTTTTTCATAATCTAGGTTTTCCATGAACTTTTTTGTTTTTAAAAGATTTTGAGAGTTAGAGTTACACTGAGAGTCAGGAGAGACAGAGAGAGGTCTTCCATCCACTGGTTCACTCCCCAGTTGGCCACAACGGCTGGAACTAAGCTGATCCGAAGTCAGGAGCCAAGAACTTCTTCCAGGTCTCCCACGTGGGTGCAGGGGCCTAAGGACTTGGACCATCTGCCACTGCTTTCCCAGGCTATAGCTGAGAGCTGGATCAGAAGAGGAAAAGCCAGGACTCGAACCGGTGCCATATGGGATGCTGGCACTGGTGCTGGCCCCTTCATGAACTTTTTGAAGACCCCACTATGCATGGATTTCAGGATTTTCTTTTTTCCTATTTATATATTTGAAAGATTTTTTCCATCTGCTGGTTCACTTCCCACATGGCCACAACAGCCAAGGCTGGGCCAGGCCAAAGAACTTCATCCACATCTATGTGGGTGGCAGGGGCCCAGGTAGGCTTTGGCCTGGGCCAGTGCTGGCCGTTGCAGCCATCTGGGGAGTGAACCAGCAGGTGGAGGACCTCCCTAACTCTTTCAAAATAAATATTTTTAAAAAAGTTTTGGAGGCTGGCATTGTGGCATAGTGGGTAAAGCCACCTCCTGCGATGCCAGTATCCCATATGGACGCAGGTTCCGATCCTGACTGTTCCACTTCTGATCCAGCTCCCTGCTAATGGCCTGGAAAAGACACTGGAAGATGGCCCCAGTGCTTGGCCCTCTGTCACCTGCATGGGTGATGTGGATGAAGCTCTTAGCTCCTGGCTTTGGCCTGGCCCAGCCTTGGCTGTTGCAACCATGTGGCAAGTGAACCAGCAGAGGGAAGATCTCTAATTTTTTCAGATATATAATATTAAAAAAAAATTTGAAATCCATGCATAGTGAGGTCTTCAAAAAGTTCATGGAAAATCTAGATTATGAAAAACTGCATGGATTTCAAAATGTTTTCATATATCAGAATGTGTATGAAACATAGGTGGGGCTAGTACTGTGGCTCAGTGGGTTAACGCCCTGGCCTGAAGCTCTGGCATCCCATATGTGTGCCGGTTCGAGTCCCGGCTGGTCCTCTTCTGATCCAGCTCTCTGCTATGGCCTGGGAAAGCAGCAGAAGATGTCCCAAGTCCTTGGGTCCCTGAACCCCCGTGGGAGACCCAGAAGAAGCTCCTGGCTTCGGATTGGCGCGGTCTGGCCATTGCAGCCAACTGGGGAGTGAACCAGTGGATGGAAGACTTCTCTCTCTCTGCCTCTCCTTTCTCTGTGTTAACTGACTTTCAAATAAATAAATAAATAAATCTTTTTAAAAAATGTGAATTTCATGTTTAGACATGGGTCCCATTCCCAAGCTAGTTCATAATGTCTGTGCAAATGTTCCAAACTCTGATACCCTTCTGGTCTCAGGCATTTCACATGAGGGTCTGGAGAGAGCTGGGATGGAAACAGCTGGGGCAGCCGAGGGTCACCCATGGTGCAATTCCCACGTGCCTCAGGCTCCTACTTCCAGGCAAGTAAGTAGAAATAAAACTTCAGCTGAGAGTAAATGCTCCTTCTCATTTGAATGTTTGAAAAACAACTTTTGTTCTTTGGAAGACTAAACATGCCATTGAACTGCTTTGTAATACAATCCAGTACAGGAGAAGTCTGGCTAATTTTTTTTTTTTTTAATGAGAAACATCTGATTCTTACATACCACAAATAGCTTCAAGTTTCAGCACCAACCCCCCACTGGCCAAACAGTGATACCAGACCTGAAGCATCTCTTTAAATGTGAAAAGTCTTAGAAAATTAGCTTACCAAAAACGTCCCTACCAAGGCTGTAGTTTGGCATTTACTGTACACTAGTCAAAAGCCCAAGCTAAAATCTGACTTTAAAAAAATCAAAGTTTACATTATTCATACAGATTCCGCATTGTTAAAAAATATGCACAAATAACCACATCCATGCAATATAATTTCTTTAAAAATTTAAAGCAATATAAAAGAGATCTAGGGACTGAACAGAACGTGTCGGTTTGTAACCTGTAGTTCGAAACAGATAGTCACTGGAGAACAACTGATTCTAAACGTTTGAAATAGGATTGTTTCTGATCCATCAGCCAAGGGTGCACAGGAATTCTGGACTGTTTCGAAGCTGGCTTGTTGCTAGGAGACAGACTGCATGCACGTCACTGCTGACCGACCACAGCAGCTACGACAATGCTGTTTTACAGAGAAGTCTGAATTCTCCAAGTGCTTGGCTCCTCAGGAAACTGCATTTCCACAGTCCCTAAACCAAACAGCATTGCCTGCAGAGTGCCTGGCGCCCCTGGCTGCACAGGCGCCCCCTGGAGGAGAGGAGGAAGTCCGTCTTCGGGCTGGCCGCCCACTCTGCACAAGTCCAGAAGGAGGCTTCCATAGTGGGTCCCTGGACCTTGCCAGTGCCCACAGTCGCTCACAGACTGGTCTGGGGCCATGAGCTGGTCCCCTGAGGTCAACAGGCTGATGTGGGGCGCTGCAGGGGCCCCAGCCTCCTAGGTAGGGGGCGGCCCGTTGGTGTACCGCAGCATTGGGTAGAAGGAGCGGGCGAAGTTGTTGGCCTGGGTGCAGCTGTAGTCCTCTTCGGAGGAGGGCAGCAGGCAGGCCAGCAGCAGCAGCAGCAGCAGCAGCAGCTGGAGGGGCAGTGCTGCCCTCAGCACGCGGGCGAGGAAGGAGCGCGGTGGCCGGGAGCTGCCGGGGCCGGGCACCCTGCAGGGAGAGAGGAGGCGCGGGCTGCTCAGGGTGGGCGGCCCCTGAGCCCTTGTGTAAGTCAAGGAAGAAACCCAGGGCCTGCGGTGGAGACGGGGCCAACAGCTAGGGGGTTCAGTTTTGGAAGAGACGCCCAGCCCGTTCCAAAGGAAAGAACAAAACCAGATTTCGACCCCAGGATCGTGGCACTGGCGGGACTGGTGTGTAGGGGCGGGCACAGCAGGGGGCACTCGGGCTGAGCCGTGAGACGGTACCTGCTGTCTGCCTCCTTCCTGCCTCGTGTGGTCTTCTCCGCTCCCAGCTGCGGGATAAAAGGGGCCAGTTAGTATTTGGAGATGGTTTTGTCCCATCTGCAACAAACCATCCTTCCTCGGATAGACAAAGGTGCTTCAGACAGTTCACAGGAAACAGAGTTGAAAAAATAAGTTTTGATGGGGCTGGCGCTGTGGCACAGTGGGTTAATGCCCTGGCCTGAAGCACCGGCATCCCATATGGGCGCTGGTTCAAGACCCGGCTGCTCCACTTGCCATCCAGCTCTGTGTCATGGCATGGGAAAGCAGTGGAGGATGGCCCAAGTCCTTAGGCCCCTGCACCCATGTGGGAGACCTGGAAGAAGCTCCTGGCTCCTGGCTTTGGATCAGCGCAGCTGTGGCCATTGAGGCCAGTTGGGGAGTGAACCATCGGATGGAAGACCTCTCTCTCTGCCTCGCCACTCTCTGTGTAACTTTTCAAGTAAAAAATAAAGAAAAAAAGTTTTGGCCTCACAAAATGGAAGTACGCGCCTAGTATTTTTCCTACTTCTCATTTCCAGTTTCTTCACGCTCCTTAGATGTCTTCCGAGATTAAACCCGAAAAGGTAGGACATCCTCGATCTGTGTCCAAAGGAGAAATCTGGAACCTCTGTGCCAGCATTACGAGGGCTGTCCTCTTTCTTCCCGTGACCCCAAAGGAGAGTGACGGCCGAGAACGCGGCCCTCGGCTCGGCTCTAAGAACGCGGCCCTCGGCTCGGCTCTAAGGTTTTGAATCCCTGGAGTTAGCTTCTCTGTGGATCGCGTTAGAGCAGATCTCTGCCGCCGTGGGGCGTCTGCCTACCGTGGGCTATCCCAGGAACTTCCACAGAGACCACTGAGGCTGTCCTGGCAGGAAGGGGCTCTTACCCTCGCCCGGGGAGCTGGCATGGACGCTGCCGGAGGCTGCTGGCCCGAGTCCACCTCGTCGACAGCAGGCAGGGCTGGGTCCTGGGTCTGAAACACACACCCGGGTGGTTCAGTTCAGGGGAGCAGAACAGGATCCTTGGAAAATGCATTCAATATCATAGCCTGTCCACTGTCAGACTCCCAGAGGAGTGCGGAAATGGGCTCCCTGCAGGTTCTGCAGGAATCGGGGGTCCAGCTGCCATCTCTCTCTCTAGTTCCCCCTCCCTGCTCCTCAGAACAGAGGCTTCCCCCAGACCGTAACCAAGGCAAGGCCAACCACTGGCTTCTGAAGCCCGTGGCACCCTGGGGAGACCGCGTTTAGCAGCAGCAAGGGAGACATGGAGGCAGGTTCCCCGGGCAGCGAGTGTAGCACAGGCCACTACCCAATCATGCAGTCACCCTGACAGTCTCATCTCGGGTGGGAGGGAGGAAAGAAGTGTGGGGAAAAACGCAGTTAAAAGGCAAGTTCTTGCTGGTGGAGGAACATTTTGAAACCCATGTACATGAGGTATCTCCAGAAAGTTCATCCAAAATGTGTTGGATGAAAAATCTGTACATGATGTCAGTTTTTGCACTAACAAACTTTTTAACTGGGCCGGCGCTGTGGCCTAGCGGGTAAAGCCACGGCCTGCAGGGCTGGCATCCCATATGGATGCCAGTTCAAGTCGTGGCTGCTCCACTTCCGATCCAGCTCTCTGCTGTGGCCTGGGAAAGCAGTGGAAGATGGCCCAAGTCCTTGGGCCCCTGCACCCACCCAGACTACCTCCCACCACAAGGCCGCGGCATCGCTGTCCTGGCTGAATCTGGGCGTGTGAGAGCCACAGTGGACTCACCTGGCTTCCCTGCAGGGACATCAGGTCTTGGGCCACCTGCTCCAGTAACTGGTGGAGCTTCTTCTCAATGACATGGACCTTCTCTGCGGCCTCGATGTAGTCTTCCCCCGGCCCCTTAACGAGGAGGCTGTTGGCAATCTCCCGTAAGGAGTTCACTTGAGGTTGATGTTCCACTAGCTCCTTCTGCAGTTGCTGAAAACATTAACAGAGTGTGTCAAACAGCTGTCCGCAGGGAAGCTGGTGCGGCCAGCGGAGGCTTTCCCGGTGCCTGCAAAGTTCTGGGACGAATGGGGTAGTGCTCCACTCCAGAACCTTCTAAGTTCCTCTCTGTGGCTTCTGGTTTAGCACTGTTTAGGTAGCCAGTAGGTTACCCCACAGCCCTGGCTCTTGTTGCCTCGCGCTGAAGATAACGTAGACACTGGGAACATTAGAGGAGAGGAGGGGGCTGGTGTGGGAAGATCTGACCCTCACCTACGCAGGAAGCCAGGGAAATTCTGAAATGACCGAAAAACAACAGCTCAAGTACGTGGACACGTGGACTTTGCATGAGGCAAGTCGGCTTGAAGTGCTGAAGGTGGCTGTCTTGCTCGCTGCCCTGCCCGATGTGGCAACCACTGGACATACAAGGCTATTTAATCAAGTAAAGTGAAACGTAAGATTTCAGCCACAGTCGCCATGGGAGCTTGGTGGGTACCACATGGGACCTCTCTCTTGTTGCTGAGCTAGGATGGTTGCCACGGTTGGTGCCAACGTAGAACGTTCCCATCAGGGCAGAGAGTTCCGTTGGACCCTGTGGCTCCGGGGGGTAGGGGAGGGGCTACAAAGATTCCAGCATAAGAATTTTTTTTTTAATAAATGGCTGGGGGCTGGCACTGTGGCATAGCAAGTAAAACTGTTGCCTGCAGTGCTGGCATCCCATATGGGCGCCAGTTCAAGTCCCGGCTGTTCCACTTCCCATCCAGCTCTCTGCTGTGGCCTGGGAAAGCAGTAGAAGATGGCCCAAGTCCTTGGGTCCCTGCACCCATGTGGGAGACCTGGACGAATCTCCTGGCTCCTGGCTTTGGATCAGCACAGCTCCATCTGTTGCTGATATCTGGGGAGTGAACCAGCGGGTGGAAGACTTTTTCTCTCTCTCTGCCTCTCTGTAACTCTGCCTTTCAAATAAATAAATCTTTAAAAAAAAATGCAGCTTTCAGTGAGAGTGGTCGTTTTTGAAAGAATGAATAAATGGCTAAAATAAGTAATTTTAAAATATTTGAAATTAAGCCACACACGAATTCATAGATAACAAAGCCAGCTTGAGTATAGGGAGGATACCGGCGCCACCCTTATTTGCAAGTGAAATAAACACATGAAGACACACTCTCCTCCAGAAAGATGTTTCTACCATGGATGGAGAAACCCACATAAGTCCGTCCCAGCTGCAGAGAGCAGTATTCGCGAGGGGAAAACACCCCTCCTGTTCCATCGGCAGGTGCACGCAACCGGGTCCCCAGTTCCTAAGCGTCTCAAAGATGCCTCACTCTGGACCCTGGAGCTTCAGCCCCGCGAGTCTTCTAACTGTAGTCGCCCACAGGTGTGCAGTCACAAACATCACCCATCGCCGCTCCAGAAACGCTGGGCGGGGCTGGCTGATGCAGGAGCTCTGCCCCTTGCATGGAAAACACGTTCGTTGGAAAATGCATTTACTATACCTAAGCTCCCAGCCATCACAGCTTAGCCACATGGCCCACTGGAGCACACAGGCCATTTCCCTGCCACCGCCCAGCATCACAAGAGGGGTCAGGCCCCCGAATTCCAAGTGCAGTCTGTCCTCTGAGCCATGGGGGTGGGGGACAGAGGCCGGGGGCAGTGCAGAGGCCCCCAGGGAAGCACTCACCATCAGCCTCCTCTGACACTCCAGGAGAACCTGGGGGTCGGCCTTGGGGTCAGCAACATGAGCCTCCTGCCTCCGACCCTCAGCGCTGGCCAAGTACAGCAGCAGGTTCTGACTCAGCTGGTGGAAGTCCTTCAAACACAACACACAGCAGTGTCACCTGCTTTGTAGGGACCGTGGCGGAAGCAGCCTTTTGTCCCTAGCCTGGCACAGTCATTGGCCCTTCTTGTCTCAGCCGGAGAAGGACATGGCCCTGGCACGAGGAGGGGTGTGGGGAATGCCGGGAGGTCTGGGGAGGCCTCTGTGGGATGTCAGGTGACCGCCACACATGTCGCTGTAAGACGCACTGGACTCGGGGGCTAAGGGCGAGAGCCTACCAGGACAGGTCAGGGCGGCCCACGATGGGGTCAGAGCTGACGGGCAGTGCAGAGCTCATGTGTGTCAAGCACTCACGTGTTAGCACTGGGCTAAGGATACGCTCCATCTCATTTAGTCCTAAAAAGCAGTCAGGTGGTGAGCACTAAAATACCCATCTTTCAGATGAGAAAACTGAGATCTGGGAGGGTCAGTGATTTGTAGATCAGCCTGAAGTGCTGCTGTATCCCGGAGCCAGGTCTCCTTACTGGCAGGGAGCAGAGAGCGGGCAGCGCTGAGACGCTGGCTGAAGCCAACTCCAGGAGGGGCGTGGGCGTGGGCGTGGGCGAGCATCGGGTCTCCGGGATGAAGGGGGTGGGTGGGGTAGGGTCTCTCCGCAAACACACGGCAAAGCCAGCCTGCTCCTTAACACAAGTCAGCTTGGCTGCATCAAAGTTAAAAATAACTGCCTGTCCCGCCTCCCTGGGCCGGCCTGGGCCTTGGGTGCAGCTCGGGGTGGGGGCTGGGGGCTGAGTCAGCGTACCTGGCACTGCATGAGCGACTGCCGCAGGCCCGCGCGCCAGCTGTCCACTGCGCCCTGGGCCGCCTCCCAGCGCACGCGCAGCTGGTGCAGCCTGCTCTGGAGCTCGGCCGCCTCGGCGCTCTCGCTGGGCAGAGACTCCTGGCTGCTCCCGTGCACAGAGTCCAGCAACGCCTTGTAGGTGTCAGAGGCCTTTACTATCTCCTACCCCAGAGGGAAAAGATCGGGTTAGGCACTCCGAAAACAGAGGGCCGCATTGTGACCCTCGGCAGGGAGTGGATCCGTGCGCTCGCTCCCTCCCAAGCTGCAGCCGCAGAAGCAAGGGCAACCTCGCCTGTGACTGGCTGGGAGGCGTCAGCTGAGGGAGCTGCCCTACAAGGCTGTGAACTTGGCCAGCAGGGCCCAAGAGCAGAGGCCTGCCTGCAGGCGGGCGACTGGACCAGAGACACACAAAGGCTCTGCTGACGTCCACGGCCCCTCTGTGTCTGGCTTAAGAATGCTTCTGGACCCCATGAAAAGCCTTCTGGATAAAGTGTACATAGTCATTCTGCATCTGTCCCTCAGTGAGCACCCTCAGAAAACTACAAGTCTGAACAGTGCCTGGATACCCCAAGGCACCTGCTCCGGGCCTCAGGAGCTCAGGCCGATGCGGTATACAGCGTTCAAACTACCCCGCCCCCACTCTCCAGGCAATTCCAGGGGGGCCCAGACTGGTGATGTATGTGGGTGTCCAGGTCAGGCCACAGCACCCAGCAGTGGGGACACTGGTTTTCCCCAACCCTGAATTTTTTTTTATTTGACAGAGTTAGACAGTGAGAGAGAGAGAAAGAGAGAAAGGTCTTCCTTCCATTGGTTCACCCCCCAAATGGCCACCATGGCCGGCGCTGCGCCGATCCGAAGGCAGGAGCCAGGTGCTTCCTCCTGGTCTCCCATGGGGTGCAGGGCCCAAGCACTTGGGCCATCCTCCACTGCACTCCCGGGCCACAGCAGAGAGCTGGCCTGGAAGAGGGGCAACCGGGACTGGAGCCCGGCGCCCATGTGGGATGCTGGTGCCGCAGGCGGAGGATTAACCAAGTGAGCCATGGCGCCGCCTCACCCCACTCCCCCACCCCCGATCTTTCCAAGGAAGGCTGCACCTCAAGTCTTGCCTGCACCTTTGCTCAGTGTCTGGGAGGGTGGTTTTGAACTTCCTGGTGGTGGCCGCCAACACCTCCAACCTCAGACACCAGATCAGCCCAGCAATGGGGACCGAGCCACCCTTTCCGGGGCTGCTCTGGATTTCAGGATTATTTGTACATCGGTTCCTATGAAGACAAAAACCTGCAACCGTGTCCTTGGCAGTGACAGAAGAGAAACGGGAGAGACTGACCTACCACACACCACCTGCAAGCCGCCGCCTGCACCGTGCACCTGTTTGCCTTGCTGTCCAGCGCGGTGCTACCCTAGCGTGCCCTCGCACCAGAGACTCACCTGCAGCCTCCGCACTCGGAGCCCCATTTCCTGGACATCAGAGGGCGGCTCTGCCGTCTGCAGCGTTTCCATCTCCGCTTCGGTGTTTGCCAGCCACGCGGCGATGCTGCCGATGTCAGAGTCGAGCTGCCGCCAGCTCTGTTTCATTCTGAGTTTGCCGTGAAGCTCCTGCGCTTGAATCAGCTCCCATCTGTCCAAGGTACCTGGGGAAGGGGAAACAGCTGCCAATTTAGAAAGGGCCAGAATGCAAACAGATGTGCAGACTTCTAGCTAAGGAGGGGGCAGGGTGCTGAGAGGCTGGAGGGGTGCCCCTTGCAGGAGGTCTGGGTTTGGAGGTCTTTCTCCCCCCACAGCGGAGCACAGGAGGAGGGGGAGGCCCGTGAAGGCTGGCGGGCAGCCCACAGGTTGCTAGGATGTGCTCTGGTCTCCAGTCCAGCAGTTCGGTCTGTGCTGGTGGTCAGCCCGTTTTCTCCTCTGGTCTTCAGTGTAGATCTGGTGGCGTGATTTCGCCTGAGGCTACTCTTTGATCCTCTCTGGTCTGGCGCTGGACACTCCAATGAAGTCACTAAACACATGGCGCTTCCTTGTAGGAGGCTCAGTGTTTCAAGAATTGTTTCCAAATCGACACTGACAGCATAGGAATTTGTTCCTGGGGGCTGGTAGTTGAGTGGAGCACGACACTGCCTGTGCCTGGCTGCGTCCAGCCATCTTGAGAATTTATATAAAGTTGGTCAATTCCTAACTCATATTCTGCTGCGCAAGCACTTGTGATCAATGCCCAATTAAGCCCCAACCCCCCCCACTGCGCCTCTCCTAACGAGTGCCAGGTAGGCATACCTGGCTGCTGTCCTGTTACACCTGCGCCTCTCTCATCTTCCGGCTGTCGGCTGCCATTCAGGACTGTAGGGCCTTCTTTGCCACCTTCGGCACTTGGACGTAACAGGAGCTTCACCTAGAAGGAATCGAGTTTTAAGTTAACGATCCGTAGATCTTAAAAGTTACGTGAATAACTGGGTTCACTTGAACAAGCAAGGAACAGAGATATGGGGTCCTGCTGTTGGCAGGGTACCCCGCTGGTCAATACTCCGTGCCCTGGCATATACCTGGAGCGGGGCTGCTGGCAGACGGGGAGCCTCGCAGCGACCCCAGGAGGAGCGAGCCGAGGAGACGGTCAGGACGGGAATCAAGCAGCCTGTTTCCCGTGCCTGCTCCCCAACATCGCATCAGAACCACACCAAAGCCGCTGTAGCCGCGATGGACCCTGCTGCCCGTTCATTTTCCCCGAGTCTGGAGCTGTCCTTCCCCACGGCTCTGCAGAGGTGGCTGGTGCGACCACCAGGACAAAGGCGCCTCCCAGGGTCCTTCGTTGTCAAGTGCTTTCTCTTACTGCACGCACTAACTCCTCTGTTATCACAGCGCTGACTGCGCTGCTATCGCAGGTCTTTCCAAAAATATATGGCCCTCTTCTAGGAAGCCATGCTGGGGCCAGTGCTGTGACTCAGCAGGTTAAGCCCTGGCCTATAGCACCGGCATCGCATATGGGCACTGGTTCCAGTCCCGGCTGCTCCACTTCAGATCCAGCTCCCTGCTGATGCGCCTGGGAAAGCAGCAAGAAGATGGCCCCTGCCACCCATGTGGGAGACCTGGAAGAAGCTCCTGGCTTTGGCCCGGCCCAGCCTTGGCCATGTGAAACAGCAGATGGAAGATTGCTCACTCGCTCGCTCTCTCCTTTTCTCCCTCTCCATGTAACTCTGCCTTTCAAATAAATTTTAAAAATTAAAAAAAGAAAAGCCATGCTTTCTTCAGATTGTGTTTATTGTGTGCAATGAAGACCCAATGTTTCAGACCCAGTGAAAGGGCCATCTGGAAACTGGCCAAGGGAGGGACACAGGAGTGACTTCCGAGAGAAGCCAAACCACACGCGTTGGGATGCCATCCAACAGTCAGGTCTCTTGCCCCAAACTTGCTCCATGCCATAGAGGGAGGGACAGGTTAGAGATGACAAGTGCTTGCTAACAAGCAAGAGGAAGAGTTTCCCAGTTGGGTATGGACAACCCGCTATCAAATGACTCGGATCTGACCACGTGAAGGCGGAACTTCCCCCAGCTATGCAGCAGGGAGGCTGGGTTCTCTGCAGTTGGCACTGGAAGGCAAGTAGCTTGAATTTCCACCCCCTCCTCTCCAGTTCTCTGTACTGAGAATGGTCCGTGGCCAACAATGAACCCCAGGCTGCCCCTGCAGCTGTGTTGCCAGGGCACGCCAAGAACTCGTGTCACCCAAGGGAGGTGGGTGGAAGAAGGCACAGTCACTGTTGAAACAACCACAGGCCAATGCGGCAGCAGGAGTAATGGTGACCACCACGGCTTCTAAGGGCCTTTTACCTAAACCCAGTGCACTTAATCCTGGAGACATTTAAATTCCTTCTGGTGCCTACTGTACCGCATGTAGGTTTTCCCATGAACTTTTTGAACTTTTTGAAGAGCTTGCCTATGCACGGAATTTTTTTTTTTTTTTTTTTTTTTTTTTTTTTTTTTTTTGCCTACGCATGGATTTCAAAATACTTTACACCAAAACACACTTTTGGCTTTACTTGGCCACTATGGCCAGTGTGCTGCACCGATCCAAAGCCAGGAGCCAGGAGCCAGGAGCCAGGAGCCAGGAGCCTCCTCCTGGTCTCCCATGCGGGTGCAGGGCCCAAGCACTTGGGCCATCCTCCACTGTACTTCAGGGCCACAGCTGAGAGCTGGACTGGAAGAGGAGCAACCAGGACAGGACCGGCACCCCAATCAGGACTAGAACCCGGGTGCTGGCACTGCAGGTGGAGGATTATAGCCTAGTGAGCCGCGGCGCCGGCCAGACCCACTGATGCTAACAACTACGTGAGGTCGACTCATCCTCAGGTGAGAAGCAGCCACAGAGGCAAGGAGAGGTAATTGACTGGTGTGGCCAGGAGTCCAACTCATGTCCAGCACAGCACAGCACACCATCAAGCCTGAATATGGAGCTGTCACTTCTCGAACAGGATGTGCGGTCAAGAGATGAACAGAACAAAGGTTGGGGGCTCAGGAGCAGTTCGGGAAGTTGTCACTTGGCTTCTTCCCAGCAGTAATTATTGTTTTATCAATATCAGCACATGCAAACCAGGAAGGTTATGAGTTCAGAGCCATCTCCACAGCTAATGAGGTATGGACAACTCACCAGCGGAGAACCAACACAAGACATGCCTGGGGACTGAGCCCGCACAGTTTACAGCAAAATCTCTCTTCAAAATGTTAGCTATTAACCACATGCCTGGGGTCCACACTCACATAGGCTGGTTTATAAGGCGTGCTGGAGTCTGAGGGGACGGGCGGTCCACTCCTATCACCTTCCATCTGTTTGTAACGATGCTTGGGGCAGGACGGGCTGTCTGGAACAAGCCACGAGTGGCCGTCAGAAATGGATTTACCTGAAACAAAGGGCAGCGAGTGAGGCTGCGTTCTCTCCCCCCATGGGATTCATATTTAGTGACATAAAAAAAAAAAACAGGTCATGAGTAACATGGCGTCAGGTTACAGAGTCAAGATGAATTCTGCAGCTTTCCTTGCAAAGCATGCGTGTTTGCAAAATGTCAGTACGTTCCAGAGGGGATGAGATGGGAGTCATGCAACAGAGCAACACTGCGTCTTCACTAGATGGGTTCGCGATGGAGCACAACAGGTGGATGATTTGCTGTGGCACGAGGTGGCATTGGGAGCTGGGGTCTTGAGAGGTCAGCGCTGCACGGCCAGGCTGGTGGCCAACAGGACAGAGGGCCTCTCAGCAGGGAAAGGGAGAGTGAATGTCAACAGGGGCTTGGGAAGCCAAGGGCCACTCGTGGCTCTCCCTACCACTGAGGTGGGGATGGGGTGGAGGAGAAAGAGCAGAGCTGTATGTCAAGGTAAGGACAATTTCTTTTTCTGTGCCAAAGGCTACGGTACCCCCACTCCTGCCCACCCACCTGCCTCCCGGGAGATCACCAGCAAGGAACCCGTTCCAAACCAAGCCACCATGAAGAAAGCTTGGCCATGCCAAAGGGCGTCCATTAGATGGAGCAAAAAAAATAAATAAATAAAAAACCAGTAAGAACCAAGAAAGGCACCGTGGAAAATTCCCTCTGCACAGGCCTGAGGGCGGGGAGAGGGCCAGCGCAGGGAGCACTGTGGCTCGGGCAGGGTTGGCAGGGAACACGCGGGGGTGGTGAGTACGGCAGTGTAAATACACCATGACACGAGGACTGAGGCGCATGGTGTCCACGGAAGGCAGAGGTCAGACAGGACACGGAGCGAGGTTTAGGATGCAGTGTGCGCCACAGGATGCTGCCATGTTGAGACACATGCACGGGCAGGGGCCTACCAGAAGACGCTTGCAAAGTTTTTGTGGTCATTTTAAGATAGGCCTCAGGATTTTCGGGGATTTCTACATCTGAAAAAGAACAATGTCATTTTCCTCACTGGCGGTGCCCGTGAGATCCATGCCGAAGATCAAGTTAACACATAGTCAGCTAGAAGGAGAAAATACCCCCTCTAGATCCTTCTGATTAGAAGACCTTTAGGAGAACCAAAAGGATTTTCTCCCCCAGCCACGTCCTGGCTGTTGGCAGCGGTGGGGGGGTGGGGGTGGGGGGTGCTGTATGCAGCTCAGGCTGTTGCTACTCTGCAGGGTTCACTGAGGAGTGCCCCCAGCAGCCAGGGCCATCAGTGAACACCCTTATACGTCCAGATGTGAACTCTGGTTGTTTCTCCTTTCCTTCCGCCTGCAACAGGATTGAGCCAAAAGTCAAGAGGTGGGCAGGACAAACCCGGGATGCCCCAAAGGCTGGGTCAGCTGCGGTCTGGCCTCCTCGGCATTGAGACCTGGCTGGGCAGGCTGAGCGCCACAGACACAGCCACACGGGTCGATCGCAGGGGCTCTGGGAACCCGGCCGTTACCTGATAGTGCACTGTAGTACGGACCTTCCTCGTCGTCTTCGTGAGAGGAGGAGCCGCCCACGTCACCCGTGTGGTCCCACTCGAGGGGGATGGAGTCCACACTGACAGGGGTCTCGCAGCCGGACCGCTCGTGCCCGGGCGCCGGGGGCACCAGGTGACAGAGAGACTGGGGAGACGGGGGCTCCTCGCTCTCCCCCCTTTTCCGCCAAGAGTCAGGGGGCATCTCTCTGGGGTCTTCCATGTCTGTTTCATTCTCAGAGGTCTCCTTTTCATCTTCTAAGCCCTACACAGGAGGATCCAATGATTAGAATGAGACCAAATCAAGGCTGCTGCATACGGAAGCAGCATTATCGTCTGTCTGTCCAAAGAACCAAGTTAGGGGCGGGTGCTTAGGGCAGTGGTTAAGTCACCACTTGTGACTGCCACTTCCCTCCATAGGTCCTGGGTTCAGGTCCCGGCTCCTCTACTTCCAAACCAACTTCTACTGAGTACTTTGGAAGGCAACAGGTGATGGCTCCAGTGCTTGGTCCCTGGTAGAACAGACACAAATAACCCGGGCTCTTGGCTCTGGCCTGACCCAGCCCCAGCTGTTGCAAGCATTTGGGGAATGAATCAGAGGATGGAAGACCTCTGTCTGCCATTCAAAGAAAATGAAAATAACAATGGACGGTGGTCATTACTGCTTCTGGGACAAAAAGGCGACAGCCTCAATCCCACGTGAACTTTTCAGAAGGCCCTTCTGTCATGGGAAATGTCCAGGTCCCTTTTGGAAACTGGATCATGTGACACTTCAAAGGAGAGAACAAAATAACCAAAAGGCACAAACATTAAATGCTTCTAGACACTAAGATACAGGAAAATGCAAACATGAGGGCAGCTTCAACGTAGTCGTGGAAAATACAATTAAAAGATAAATTTAGTTCGGTCTGAAAGACTTTAAACCCACACATATGAGAGGTCTTCCAAAAGTTCAGAGAAAATGAATATTATGAAAAAAAAACTGGGCAGATTTCAAAAATTTTTTGTACCCAAATAATCTTTTCATTCTATTTTCCCGTGGACCTTTTTTTCAAGATTTCTTTTATTTGAAAGGCAGAATTAGAGAGGCAGAGGCAGAGGCAGAGAGAGAGAGAGAGGTCTTCCATCCACTGGTTCACTCCCCAAATGGCCAAAACAGCCGGAGCTGGGACAATCCAAAGCCAGGAGCCGGGAGCTTCTTCTGGGTCCTCCCACGCGGGTGCAGGGGCCAAGGACTTGGGCCATCCTCTACTGCTTTCCCAGGCCACAGCAGAGAGCTGGATCAAAAGTAGAACAGCTGGGATTCTAACCAGCACCCGTACGGGATACCGGCACTGCAGGCAGCAGTTTTACCTGCTACGCCACAGTGCCGGCCTCTCCCACGGACATTCTGAAGTATCTCTTCTGTTCCCAAGTTACTAATGCCATCACACCCAGAGCAGGGTCAGTAAATTCTTGGGGTACTGATACATGCCCGAAAGGCCCTGTAGTAAGGAAAACACACTGACAACAGTTAACGGGAGCAAGACCATCCTTTCTTCTGGTACTGGGAATCTGTACGTGACTGTGGCTCTGTATTAGTAACAGTGGAGATGAAATTCTTTGATGTAGCATTTTTTTTTCTGAATTGAAAAATGAAACCACAGTTCACCATTAGAAGACAGGATTCCCAGTTCTCTGAACACCCAGCCGGCTGTTAGACTCGGAGCCGCCGAGGAGCCGCGGGCGGGCAGCACGGCTTACTGGCGCGGGGGAGGTGAGCCGCCGGTGGAAGCGGCACACCCTGCCGAACACCTCCTGGCAGTATCGGTGGAGGTCCTCCAGCTCGTCCTCGATCAGCACGGCGTCCAGGGGCTCGCTCTTCTGAATCAGCTGCTCGCCACACACGATGAGCTGGTCGATCTTGTTGGTATTCAGCGTGATCTCCTGCTGGAAGCCCTGTTGAGAGATGAGACAGAAAGGACGTCTAGCAAAGTACCGACGAAAGCCATTGAAAAGCGCGCACACACACACACACACACACACAGAAATGGAAAAACATCCCACGTGCGTGGACTGGAAACATCAGTGTTGTGGATATGTCCAGACTACCCAGAGTGCTCCACGGAGTTCACGCACTGGAGTGAAAACACCAGTGGAATTTTCCAGAGAAACAGAACAACAATCCCACAACTCATACAAAACCACCCGAGTTCCCACACAGCTGCGGCAATTCTAAGCAGAAAGAATAAAGCTAGAGGCATCACAGCACTTGACTTTAAAATGTCCTGTAAGGCAACTGGAAGTAAACCACACAGGGGAACAGGATAGAGAACCCAGAAATAAACCCACATGCTGCCGGCCAGCTGATTTTTGACAAAGGCAGCAAGAAGATGCATTGGAGAAAGGAAAGTCTCTAAGAAATGTTGATGGGAAAATTAGACATGGACATACAGGAGAAAGAAACTAGACCCCCCTCACCACATCCAAAAAGCAACTCAAAATGGATCAACGACTTACACGTAAGACCTGAAACTTTAGAATCACTGCAAGCAGACATTTGGCAATGCTTCAGGAAGCTGATCTGCACAGGAGTGTTTTGGACAGGCCCCCCAAAGCATGAGAATCAAAAGCAAAAACTGGAAAAGGGGTGACATTAAACTAAAAATAATTGAGGTGACTTACAAAATGAGAGGAAATATTTGAGAACTATTCATCCAACAAGGGACTGATTTCTAGAAGATGAGTATAAGGAACTCAACTCATTGTTGGGCTTTATTTTTTTTTTCTTTTTTTCTTTGATAGGCAGAGTGGACAGTAAGAGAGACAGAAGAGAAGGGTCTTCCTTTGCCATTGGTCCACCCCCCAATGGCCACTGCGGCCAGCGCGCTGCAGCCAGCGCACCACACTGATCCGAAGCCAGGAGTCAGGTGCTTCTCCTGGTCTCCCACGCGGGTGCAGGGCCCAAGCACTTGGGCCATCCTCCACTGCACTCCCGGGCCTCAGCAGAGAGCTGGCCTGGAAGAGGGGCAACCGGGACAGAATCCCATGCCCTGACCGGGACTAGAACCCGGGGTGCCGGTGCCGCAGGCAGAGGATTAGCCTATTGAGCCATGGTGCCGGCCAACTCATTGGTTTTTTAAAACCAATCTGACTTTGAAATGAGTAAATGACCTGAATAACCATTTTTCAAAAGAAGATACACAAGGGGTCAAGAAGTACATGAGCAAAATGGTCTACATCTGTAATTATCAGGGAAAATGGAAATCAAAACCACAATGAGATGCCATCTTATCAAACTAAGAACGGCAATGACCAAAATGACAAGAAATAACAAGTGCTGGCGGGGGTGCAGAGAACGGGACTCTCCTACTGCTGCGGGAATGTCAATTAGGAGGCCACTATGCAAGACAATATGGAGGATCTTCAAAAACTAGAAACAGAACTATTGTAGGATCCAGCTATCCCCTCTGGGTTTATATCCAAAGACAATAAGTACGTTGAAGAAACATCTGCACTTGGATTTGGAACAGCGCTGTTCCATTAAGCAGCCGAGTGCCCGCTGATGGATGGATAGAGAAAATATGGGGCACAGACCCAATCAACTGTATTCATTCTGCAAAAAGTATGAAGTCTTATCATTTGCAGCCGCATGAATGGAGCTACTGGAAGGACGTTTTGTTAAATAAAATAAACCAAGCACAGGAAGATAAATGCTGCACTGGGAGGACGAGTAACGGAAACAGGATGGTTACTGAGCACGGGGATGCAGCTAAGTAGGAGGAGAGGAGTAATTCCTAGTGTTCTACAGTAGGTAACTAGGGTGGACAACAGGTAACTCAACATTTGAAAGCAGCTAACAGAATTTTCAGTGTTTCCAATACAGAGGAATGATGTATGCCTGAGGGTCTACATACGCCAATTAGCTGACCATTACACATTGGATATATGGATTGAAAAGTCGCACTTCACCTAAAATATACGATTATGGTGTATTAACTAAAAATAAGTATTTTTTAAAAGAAAGGATCTGAAACAACATGTCCCTGAGCAGCCACTGGGTCTGTTTCTTAGAACAGGACCATGAAAAACAAAAGCACCCAGATGCCACGTCATCATTTTGTCTCTTCACCTAGCACTTAGCTTCATCGGCTTCTAAGGAGGTGAAAAACTGCAACGATTGTACACGCTTTTCCCTCCCTCCTTCCCGGAGAGTAACTAAAAGTTTGACCTGGAAGAACGTTTACTGGTACTGGGCGTGAGGGTGAGAACCTGTCCTACCGACACTTAGAACCAAAGCTTGCACCGTGAGCCACCGATGGGCACGTGTGTCTGCTGGCACAGCACGGGCGGCAGCGGCCACTGATGTCATTCCGTTAGGGATGGTAACTTTCCGTTTCTCAGCCTTTCCCAAAGATCTAGCCACGCGGCGAGGTCTAGAGAGAGCGAACCCTCACACAGGTATCCCTCATGGGGAGAGGGTTCGGGGTTAGCGTCTTAACCGAGTGCTGCTGGGAACCAAAAGTGAGTTCTCCCCTTGGATGACAATGAATGACACTTGTAAAAAGGGACTTGACCCAGTGACTCCAGAGCAGTGTCCATGCTCGTGCTAACAGGGTAGTGCAAGGCTGGGGCACCGCCTGGTGCTGTGAGAATTCTGGAGTTTGTTCTGAGTGACCAGGTGAAGTTTTGACTTGGCAGCTCTTCTCTGCTAAAGGGCATTCTCTTTTATTTTATATATTGAGCTCCTTCATTGCCTTTTTTTTTTAAACAAAAAGATTTATTTATTTATTTGAAAAAGTTACACAGAGAGAGAAAAGGCAGAGAGAGAGAGAGGTCTTCCATCCACTGGTTCACTCCTCAATTGGCTGCACAAGGCCAGGAGCCAGGAGCTTCTTCCAGGTCTCCCACGCAGGTGCAGGGACCAAGGACTTGGGCCATCTTCTACTGCTATCCAAGGCCATAGCAGAGAGCTGGATTGGAAGAGGAGCAGCCGGGACTAGAAGAGCATCCATTTGGGATGCTGGTGCTTCAGGCCAGGGCGTTAACCCACTGTGCCACAGCGCCGGCCCCTCCTTCATTGCTTTTAAAGGCATGTGTGAGAATGCTTCCATTCGTTGGTTCCCTCCTTGGGGCCGGGCCAGGCTAAGGCTGGAAGCCAGGAACTCAATCCTGGGTCTCCCACATGGATGCCTTGAGCCCATCGCCTGCTGTCTCTCAGAGTGCACATTAGCTGGAGGCTAGAATCAAGAGGGCAGCTGGGATTCTGATATGGGATATGGGTACTCCAAGCAGTGTCTTTCCCATTGCATGAAACACCCACCTCTCTTGGCGTACTCTTTTAAGAGAAGCTAAAAGGAGCTGGCGCTGTGGCATAGCAGGCAAAGCCACCACCTGCAGTGCTGGCATCCCATATGGGCACCGGTTCAAGTCCCGGCTGCTCCACTTCCCATGCAGCTCTCCGCTGTGGCCTGGGAAAGCAGTGGAAGATGGCCCAAGTCCTTGGGCCCCTGCACCCGTGAGGGAGACGTGGAAGAAGCTCTTGGCTCCTGGCTTTGGATCGGTGCAGCTCCAGCCGTTGTGGCCAAAAGGGGAGTGAACCAGCAGATGGAAGACCTCTGTGTGTGTGTGTGTGTGTGGTGTAACTCTGCCTTTCAAATAAAATAATCTTTAAAAATAATATTAAGCCGGCGCCACGGCTCACTAGGCTAATCCTCCGCCTTGCGGCGCCGGCACACCGGGTTCTAGTCCCGGTCGGGGAGCCAGATTCTGTCCTGGTTGCCCCTCTTCCAGGCCAGCTCTCTGCTGTGGCCAGGGAGTGCAGTGGAGGATGGCCCAAGTGCTTGGGCCCTGCACCCCATGGGAGACCAGGAGAAGCACCTGGCTCCTGCCTTCGGATCAGCGCGGTGCGCTGGCTGCGGCACACCAGCAGCGGCAGCCATCGGAGGGTGAACCAACGGCAAAGGAAGACCTTTCTCTCTGTCTCTCTCTCTCACTGTCCACTCTGCCTGTCAAAGAAAAAAAAAAAACAGCTAAGGATGCGGCCTTACGTTCAGCTGGCGCATCTTGTCGTCCGCATCGCTCTCGGAGAAGTGCTCCACGTTGGTCAGCTGCAGGTCCATCTCCGTCAGCCACACCAGAATGCTCTCCCTGGTCCCCTCGAACTCGTCCCTCTGGTTCGTGAAATGCTGCCAAAGGGGAAGAGGAGCACACGGCGCTCTGAGTGCAGAACAAGAGCCCGGCAGACAGCAGCGTCCCCTCTGTGGGGAGCTAGGGCCGGTGTCTCAGAGAGGAACCTGCCTCCGGGGTCCCAGGAAGGCCCAGGCGTGCTGCATCCAGGAGCCCGGTCAGTGCTGTGCGACAGACAGGGCCCCCGCCTCCCTGAGCCTCGGCTTCTGCACCAGCAAATGGAGCAGAGTTGGACTTGGACCTCCGTGATCTTTCAAAGCGCTGGGAATTCTGGAATTCGTTATCTAGGTCAGAGCTTTTTCCATCCTTTGAGGAACCAGGCCAGACCCTCTGCCCGGCTCCACCCGTGCGCCCCCCGCAGAAGGACTGACAGTAGCTTCCGGCTGGAAAGCGCTCATCTCGGGGGGGTTGAGTGGCCCGGGGCTCCCTTGGCCTTCACAGATGCGACTGTGTTGCTCCAGGGAGGGGATCTGCGGCCTTTGAGGAGGACTCTGCGGTTCCACCGGGAGGGCAGCTGACTCTGAGAAATGCGGCACGCAGGGCCAAGGCAGTGTTAGCTCAGGATCTTGCAAATCGGCAGGAGATAACAGGAATACAAGGCGACAGCCTGGGTGGCTAGACAAGCCAACGTCTTCCCTCGGTGTTACGAGGTGGAAGGCCCAGGTTCTCCCGCCTAGAACGGCTTCAAGAACATTCTGCCCGAGAGCAGGAGCAGGGCTCTAAATCACATCTTGTGGTTCCTGCCTACTTCTGGTATCTGGACTCACAAAGCCAACACAGCCCATCTCCTGCATTAAAGGGAACAGAGGTGAAGATGTACATTCCGAGTCCAACCCCTCACTCGGGGGCTCCTTGGTGGGCTCTGAAGCTCAGGAGAGCCACCCAGCAGGGGCTCAGGTGTCCCGTCCTCTGCCCATGGAGCTCAAAGCAGGAACCAGCAGGGCGCGCCAAAGCAGGTGGCCAGGCAAAGCAGGGCTTTTGCTGGGGGCCCCTGTGTCACCTCCCCTAGGCCCAGAGTGCCCAGGCTGTGGCTGGTCCCCACGCCATCAGGGCTGACAGCTGTGTAAAGACAGGCACGGGTTTTCAGTAGCACAAGTCACACCAGCCGGCCCTGCCCACGAAGCCTCGCATGCCGATCCCTGTCTGGAGGATGGAATGCTGGCAGCTCGGGCTGCCCTGTGTTGTCGCCATGTCCAGGGAGCTCAGGCCTGCAGTGCAGCCTGCCACTTGCACATCACGTATCTCTCCCCCCACCCCAGTGCGGGGCAGCGGGTTACCCGGAGGCGCCGCAGGATGGCCGTGACCCGCCGCTGGAGGCTGTCCCAGCGCTGGTTGCCCTCGTGCACCATCTGCTTCAGTTTGCTGGCCGCGTCCGTGCGGTTCTCACGCGCCAGGCGCCGGTACTGCTTGTTGATGAGTTCCAGCTGCGTGAGCCTCTCGTGGATCTGCCGCTGAAAAGCCTGTGCCGCACAGAGCAAGGGGGTCACTGCCACGGCCCCCGCCGCCTGCTGCACCAGCAACAGAGAGGGCCGGCTTCCCTGCCCGCGCCCCCATCAGAGAACCCGACTCCGCTTCCAGTTCCAGCTTCCTGCTAAAGCGCACCCTGGCGGGCAGCAGGTGATGGCTCGAGTGCTTGGGTCCCTGCCACCCCCACAGGAGACCCGGAAGGAGTTCCTGGCTCCTGGTTTTGACCTGGCCCCATCCTGGCTATTGGAGGCATTCGGAAAGTGAACCTGCAGATGGAAGATCGCCCCCTGTCTCTTTCTCTCTGCCTTGCAAATGCAGTGAAAAGAAATCAGTAAAATAATGCACAGGCTATTAAGTTCACTCAAGCTGCCTTAGCAGCAGGTGGCTGGCCGTGGACTGTGGCCCCCACCGAGGGTGGGGAAGCTGGGCCCCCACCAGGAAGTCGTCACAGCCGCTCGCGAGCCACTGTGGGCCCGGTTACTAGCAAGCGGGCTGGGCCGGGCCAGGTACTTACCTCGAACCTCTTCAGCTCTTCTTTGGCGTTTGTGTACAACACCTCGGAGGAGTTGGGGCAGGCCGCCGTCCTCTCGGCCGACTGCAGCCAGTCCTCGAAGCGGGAATAGTCGTCTAAGAACTTCTGCCACAGGCGCCACGTCTCCTCGATTCTGGCAGAAGGAGAGCAGCAGCCTAACTCCTGGCTCTTGTGGTTTCCCTGTTATCCCCGACCGGTCCCATCCCCTCGCTCCCCCTCTTACTGGTGTGCACTGCTTAAGATCCTTTTATTCCTCGTGGAACACAACGCGGCCAGGGACGTTCCTTCCTGGTGTACCTAGCTTCCCTCCTCTGGGAGCACCCGCCCCGCAGTTACAAAACCGCACACACGGGAGTTCCTGAGCGCTCCGTCTCTGACTTCCCCCTGCCCCACCACCTTACAGATCCTAAACAGCAGTGCAGCCGCCAGCCCACATGCCAGCCTGAGGCACCGCCGAGAAGCACTGCTCATACCTACTGGGCTTTCTCAGCCAGTACCTGGAGAACCCAGGTACCGTCACCGAGGACAGAGGGTGCGCCAGGTTTGGCAGATCATAATTAAACCATTAAGGGGCAGGTGCAGGCCTTTGGGCTGGCAGTGAGGGTGCCAGTTACGATGCCCGTATCCACACTGCAGCACCTGGGTTTGATTCCCGGCTCCGACTCCTAACTTCAGCTTACTGCTAATACACACCCTGGCAGGCCCAGGTGACTGGGTTCCTGCTACCCACGCAGGACACCTGGATTGAGTTTCCAGCTCCTGGCTTTGGTCCAGCCCTGCCCTGGCCCTTGTAGGCACGAAGGGAGTGAACCAGCAGATAGAACTACCCGTGTCTCTCTCTTGGCTTTCAAATAAAACCAAAGCTTTGCAAGAGCTCCCCAGGGGCTGCGGAGTTCTTACTTCATGCGCCGCTCCATGGACATGGCACAGATGTTCCTCCAGCGCCTGTCCAGGCTCCTGGTGGTCTGCTGAATGGAGTCACACTCGGTCTCGTTTGCGCATGCGTCCGAGTCGTGCAGGAGGACATCGCAGATGTTAAACACGGACTCCACCCCCGCGCTGTGCTGCTCAATATCTCGCTGCAGATCCTACGGTGCCAACAGAGCCCTTGAGGTGGCGGGCGGTGCAGGCAGGGGCAGCATCCGAGGCTCCGGGCCTGCCCCCTCCCCCCACCCCTGCCCTGAGCGCGTCTCTACCTGGGCTACAACGGCACAGACTGAGTCCGTGCGGCCACCCGACACAAAGCTGCAACTCTATCAACACTTGGGACCCAACTCTGGAGGACAGGTGCTGCCCACAGGGTATGCGTGGGAACTATTCCACCCCACCCGCCCCAAGGCCACCACTTGTGACCTCAGGTCTTCCTACAAACGGATTGGGTCTTTCCAGCAGGAACAAAGCAGATGCCATGGGGGCTTTTAACCTCACACAGGCCACAGCGCTTCTTGCCTCTACTAAGACCTTAGCATGTGCAGTGCACAAGTGTCCACAGCCTCATCACACAAGGTCCCGGGTGCGAGGGAGGAAACCTAGGGTGGGGCGCCGCCTCCCCAGGGAGGGGCTTCAGCAGAGGCTGTGGCTGGGGGAGAGGTAGGCTTTCTGGAACCCTGTCCTATGACGGTAATCAATCCCCCAATCTGGGAACAAGATCATTTATGAAGAGAAAATACGGGGTTGTAGGGGGGAAAAAAAAGGAAAGCCTCTTTCAATAATTCACATGGCTTCTTCAGGTATTATAAGAAAGCATTTCTCCACAGCAGGGGAGAGAGATGAGAGTGGGTTGCAGTTCCGGTCAGCTCAGCTTCCGCTAATATCCAAACTCTGTGCCAAGTGACACGCGGTCACATCGTCACCTTATGTCCAGAGTACTTTGTGGAACAGCAAAGACAGAGTCAAGTCCTATAGTAATTGAGAGCAGACCGACTTGTAAAACTCGTGCTGCTTTAAATAAGCCACGAAGTCCCCGAGATCCAACTAAGCTCAGCTGACAATGGTTATTTCGGGGGACAGTGGTTGCCGGTGACGCATAGCGCACCTGGGGACCTTTTTTCTGCCAAGGGCCATTTGGATGTTTAGGACATCACCTGCGGGCCAGAGTGATCACCTTAAAAAGTAGCCTGCCATAGATGTACTGGATTTTGAGTCTCGCCTGTGGTTGCCTTGGCAGGGCCAAGACCCAGTAATGTCACGGGCAGATGGTCCCTGCCCCGATCCACGGAAAGACAGCCAAGGGTCACTCCAGGTCCCTGGGCATTTGCAGTTTTGCAGGGCCACTGTTCTAGTCCCTCAAGAGAGGACTGTCACTCCCTTCCTTCTGATAAATGCAGTTTGGATCCGTGCATGCTCGAGTGGATATGAGGGAATGGAATGCTCACGCTCCAACCGGATTTTAAGTCTGGCAGCGAGTAACACAGATCGGAGCGGAAACAAGCTCCAGACGTTACGCTCAGAAAAGTGTTTTCCGCTCAGTCCCTTGCATCCCGCGAGAAGAGACAGTCTCAGACAAGAAGCCTGAAATGCCACAAGGGCGGGGGTCACCCCACAGCCACTACGCGGAGCAGCCTTTAACACTTTTATGTTTAATAGAATTTCTGTTTTAAGACTTTAAGAACTGGGGCTGACGCTGTGGCATAGCCGATAAAGCCACCACCTGCAATGCAGGCATCCCATATGGGCACCAGTTCGAGTCCCAGCTACTCCTCTTCTGATCCCGCTCCCTGCTAGTGCGCCTGGGAGGGCAGCACAGGATGGCCCATGAGGGAGATCCAGGGAAGGCTCCTGGCTTCAGATCAGCCCAGCTCTGCACGCTGTGGCCATTTGGGGAGTGGGCCAGTGGCTTGAGGATCTCTCTCTCTTCCTCTCTCTGTATCCTTGCCTTTCAAATAGATAAATATTTTTTATATTAAATATTTATCTATTTGAAAGTCAGAGTTACACAGAGAGAGAAGGAGAGGTAGAGAGAGGTAGAGAGAGGTAGAGAGAGAGATAGAGAGAGAGGTCTTCTGTCTGCTGGTTCACTCCACAATTGGCCCAACAGCTAGAGCTGCGCCGATCCGAAGCCAGGAGCTTCTTCCAGGTCTCCCACGTGGGTGCAGGGACCCAAGGACTTGGGCCATCCTCTACTGCTTTCCCAGGCCATAGCAGAGAGCTGGATCGGAAGTGAGGCAGCTGGGACTAGAATCAGTGCCCATATGGGACTGCAGGCACTGCAGACAGAGGCTTTAACCCACTACGCCACAGCACCGGCCCCTAGATAAACCTTTAAAACAAATGAACAAACAAAAAAAGTGGAGCAGCCAGGACACAAACCAGCACCCATATGGGATGCTGGCGTTGCAGGCGGAGGCTTTACCCACTATGCTACAGTACTGGCCCCCAATAAATAAATCTTAAAAAATTAAGCACACCCTACAGTAATTCATAAAGGACCAATAATATGTTGGTTAAACAAAAAAGTCCAAACATTTTCAAAATTTCCAAAAGAACCTTCTAACACATCACGAGTGGTCTACTGATATTGCAGTATGAAGTAGTTACTTTGCATAATACAAAGTAGAAAGCAGACTGGATTTTAAAATGCAAACTACTGGGGTGGGCGTTGTGGTGCCGTGGATCAAGCCACCCGTTAGGCACCTGTGACTCAAATGGGCATCCTGGATGCTCCCCCAATCCAGCTCCCTGCTTATGCACCTGGGAAGGCAGGGTAGGATGGCCTAAGTGCTTGGTCCTTGCCACCAACATGGGGGACCTGGATAAAGTTCCTGGCTGGCTTGGGCCTGGCCTAGCCCTGGCCATTGTGGGAATTTAAGAGTGAACCAGTGGGGCCAGCGCCGTGGCTCACTAGGCTAATCCTCCACCTTGCGGCGCTGGCACACCGGGTTCTAGTCCAGTCGGGGCGCAGGATTCTGTCCCAGTTGCCACTCTTCCAGGCCAGCTCTCTGCTGTGGCCAGGAAGTGCAGTGGAGGATGGCCCAAGTGCTTGGGCCCTGCACCCCATGGGAGACCAGGAGAAGCACCTGGCTCCTGCCATCGGATCAGCGCGGTGCGCCAGCCGCAGCGCGCCAGCCGCGGCGGCCATTGGAGGGTGAACATACGGCAAAGGAAGACCTTTTCTCTCTGTCTCTCTCACTGTCCACTCTGCCTGTCAAAAAAACCAAAAAAAAAAAAAAAAAAAAAGAGTGAACCAGTAGATGGAAGATTTCTCTCCCTCTCTGCCTTTCAAATAAAAAAAAAATAACATTTTAAAAAATGCAAACTGTTTATTTAAATACTAGACAACTAATATTTTCCGAACTAAAATAATCCTACCACTAGTACCAAGTGTGGCATGAATTTGTACAGTTAGACTTTAGGAACTGTCCAAACCCAGAAAAACAGATTTCAGAAACAGCTTCGAACAGTGTAAAGACTTTTGCCAAGGCTTCTGGGAAGAGTTTCTCTTATTTTTCTGGCCCTGAACAGGTGAGGAGGCAGAACTGGAGATGAGATCGCAGCCAGGGAGCGTGAGAACAGAGAAGCACCAGAAAAACAAGATAAAGGGGGGAACCAGGCAGGCTGGACCCCTGGGGGTAGCTCCAGAATGTCTCCGTGGGCGGGGCCTGGGTGCTGAGCAAGCTGTGCAGGGTGCTGGTGGGGGTGGCTTAGGGGACTTGGGGTGAGGCTGAATGGAGGAGCAGGGTAGGGGGAACGGGAACGAACAGAATTGGAGAGTAATTGGTACCCATCAGGGAACCAAGAAAACTAACAACAAAACACAATCAAATAAATCAAGAGAGCAGATGCTGAAGACTTAAGGAAAGAGGGTCCCAAAGTTGTCCCCACTTCCCTTGCATTCTGAAGACGAGACAGGCGTCTCCCAAGGCAGCGACCATACAACAGAGCTGCCTCATACCCAGAGGGCTTCAACACAGGCAGGAGGGGAAACAGCCTCTATAGGGCCTCTAACAGCCGCCCTGAGCAAGGTCCCCACTGCAAGCAGGATCCAGGGACACCAGGCTCTTAGGCACTTTTAGAGGCTGAGGGCTTCTGCAGTAGGCATCGCTAGGAGGCCCCAAGTATTTAGGTCTTCAAGCAACTTAAGTAGGGAGGAAACATTTTTAAAAATGGTCCACACATAATGATGCTGTGAGACACACTCCTGTTTTCAGTGTTTTGGATGGTGCTGGTTCAGTACGAGAGGCAGAGAGAGCCCAAGAGACAGAGAGAGCTCCCAGCCACTGGTTTACTTCCTGACGCCTGCAACAGCCAGGGCTGGGCCAGGCCAGAGCGGGGAGCCGGGAGCTTGAGCCAGGTCTGCAACATGGCTGGGCAGGAGCTCAAGGACTTGAGCCATCACTGCTGCCTCCCAGGGTCTGCACGAGAAGCTGGCGTCAGGAACCAGAGGCAGGTACTCTGACCTGAGGTACTCCGAATTGAACACTGGTGTCTTAACTGCCTGACGCATTCTTTTCAGCAAAAATACTAACAGAAGGGGGGCTGACTCTGTGGTGTAGCAAGTAAAGCTGCCGCCTGCAGTGCTGGCATCCCATATGGGCGCAAGTTCAAGTCCCGGATGCTCCACTTCCGGTCCAGCTCTCTGCTATGGCCTGGGAAAGCAGTGGAAGATGGCCCAAGTCCTTGGGCCCCTGCACCCGCGTGGGAGACCCAGAGGAAGCTCCTGGCTTCAGATTGGTGCAGCTCCGGCCGTCGCAGCCAAGTGGGGAGTGAACCAGAGGATGGAAGACCTCTCTCTCCTTCTCTGTGTAACTCTGATTTTCAAATAAATAAATAAATCTTAAAAACAAAAAAAAGAAACCTAATACACCATCTGACTTTTTACCACACAGGTCGTCTTGAATACCAACTCCAGCATCTGTGTGCAACCACAGGTAAGAACTCCAGGATGGGGACTCTGGATTCCACAACAACCAGACTGAAATGATGTCCCATTTCAGTATGAGGGAAAAAATAAGGCCAAGAGAAAGGCAGTTGCTCCAAACTGCCTGCTCTGGGGACTCAGTTCCCTGTCACTTCAGAGTTACAAAAGTTAACACATATTTGTCAATCACTTTTGAGGAGGAACGAATACCAACTTCCATACTATTGATCCGACAAAACTCACCAGCCAGGGCAGTTATTTGCAAGGTTTAGCTACTGAGACTGTTCAGTGAACTTCGCGCTGGGGGATCAATCATGAACCACGACTTCACTGAGATGGGTCCTGCAGTCTGTCATGTCCATGAAACCCCTGGACCCTTACATCAAGATTCTTTTTTGCCTGCGATGGAAGCAGTTTCTGCAAGCTGGCCCTGCACCCCCTGGAGAAGCCACCTCCCGCTGGAACCCTGTCTTGAGTCCCCGTCCCAAAGACGCCCCACTGCAGCAGGAAGCAGCCAGAGCGATCATCACCCAGGTCCCCCTAACAGATGTCAGGGTTCCATCTTCAGGAGGTGGGAATGTGAGGAGTCAGGTGGGTTAATACAGTCAGGGGACCCCAGTAGAATTTGGGGTGTAAAATATTTGATTTCTTCCCCAAAACGTTATCTTTTGCAAGAACAAACAGGCCACCCTCCTTCCTCCAATTTGCCATGAGAATAGCAAGGGAGCTCTTCCTGAGCTCACAGCTTTTGTGAAAGCAAGTGACCTGTCCACCCTCAGCAGGCCAGGCGGGAGGGAGGACTGTGAATGAGGTCTTTTGGTGGTTTTTGTCCCTGCCTACTAACTGAACACCAATCTGACTGTCAAGTGTTTTTTCCTCCGAAACTGCACTTAAAAAGCCCATGGCCCACAGGCCCTTTGGGTTCATTCTCTTGGAAGCCCCCTCCATGCTGCTCTGGCTGGAGGCCTTTGACTGTAATCAATACTCTTAAATCTAAAAAAAAAAAAGATTCTTTTTTGTCCACAAAGCAAAGACAGAACGTAGACACTCTGACACTTCTGAGGCTAAGTGAAAAAAACACAACAAAGCAGCAGCCTTGCTCAATCCTGCTGGCTTGCAAGCAGCACATGGGCCTCATTTAAACAGTATAATTGAGATAGCACTTACAGTCAAGAGTACTACAAAATACTTAGATGTACTTAATATTAGACTCTGGGCATGAGAGTCTCTTAATACCATTCAAAGACTGGACTTGAACTCAAGGCACTTTATCATCAACAGGTCACCTTCTGCCCTTGAATCCAGTTAAAAAAAAAAAAGGTTCATCCAAATTTCGACTCTAAGCACCTCTGACTTTAGGATAAAGATGGAGGCTTAAGGGGAAGAAAAGCACATGAGTCTCGGAATCGCTCGGCTTAGGTGGCTGAAACAGAGCCATGGGTTTAGGACATCAGAGGTGAACGGAAGCAATGCGAAGAATAAAGCCAAATGCATCTGTCGTAAAATAAAGACAAAACTGGGCACGGCATACGAGCGCGAGCCTGTGACTGTGCACCCTGGGAAGGCAGGGAAGTGGATTCAAGAGATCAGGGACATCCAAGGGCACCCGTGAGGTCAGCGCAGTGACAAACGCGGGTTGAACTCGGTGGCTGTTGAAATGCAGCATTGCCTTGGCTGGCCCAGAGCATGGCTAACCCATGACTAACAGGCACCAGCCTCGTAGCCTAGCTTCCTAAGTGACTGGCCCATGCATGTTCCTCTGTATACCTTTTGTTTTAATTCTTTATTTTTGAAATTCTATCAGATCTACGGAATAAGATCGCACGAAAACCTCCTTCGGTTAGGAAAGTTATTTTCCTTTTGATTCATTGCCTCCCCCAAAAGATATTAATGAAACATGATGAAGAGCAAAGCGGGGGGGTGGGGGGGGAGGAAGGGAGGGGATTAACAAACCTGTTGAACATCAAGGTTAAGTTCTGCCTCATCAACATTATTCAAGGTACTTCCCAAAGAGCTACGTGACTGCAAGGTGATTTCCAAAAGTTTGTGGAATTTGGAACTGAAAGATAAGTGTATCTCAATGCAAAAAGCTTTTGCAACCCAGGAGAAGTCTGCGTTTTTCATGAACTTTGGGAAGACCTGGAGTTCTGAGAAGTGGGCACAGAGATGGATGAGACCCACCTAGAAAAACACGCAGGGCAGTTGGTCTTCCAGGAAAAACCAGCATGGAATACAAACAGGCAGGAGGCCGGGGCAGACGGGGAAGGTGGGGCGGGCAGCCGTCACCGATGCCTAGACGCTCTCGAGCGCGCGCCGCCCCGGCCTCACCTGCTGCTCTGCCAGCCGCTTCTGGATCTCTTGATCATCGCACACGTCATACACGACGGGCTTGGAGAGCTCGGACTCGATTCGAGCCAGCCAGGTGCGAAGGTTGCTCATGTTTCTGTCCAGCTGCTGAATGAAGGCAAAGGTCTCCTTCAGCTTCTTCACCCTAAACGCATTTGCAGGGAGAGAGAGAGAAAAAAAAGTAAGAAGAATGGGCCAGCAGGGCACTGGAGGCTAAAAGGACCCCACGTTGCGCCAATTTCATAGCAGAACAACGTTCATGTGACCAGGCACAAGTCTTCATAGAACACGAGGACACTTGAGAAAGTTTCCGGGAAAATCACACGACCAGGTGAGTTCAGGGCCATGGCCGCTTTAGCATTTCAGATGCCCGCGTCCCACCCTACAGTATCTGGGCTCAGTTCCCAACCTGAGCCTCTGCCTCCAGACCCTAGGGCCCTGGGAAGCAGCAGCGATGAATGTCCAAGTGGCTGGGTTCTCGCCACCCACGTGGGGGACCTGGATTGAGTTCCTGGCTCCTGGCTTCCGCCGTGGCCCAGCCCTGGCCACTGAGAACATCTGGGGAATGAACAGTGAAACCCTCCTCTGTTTCTCTCTTTCAGGTAAATCAATAAAAGGTAAGGTTATTTTGGTGTGGGAAAATTTAGAGATCCATGTGTATGTATGTATACATGTATTTGTATGTGTTAGTTTTTTGTCATAATACTCATTTTCTACACTGTCTGAAGACCCTGTGTATGCGTGGATTTCACAGCCGTCCAGGCGCCAGTAAAGAGGTCCACATCCCATCTTGGAGTGCTTAGCTTTGCACTCAGCACTGCTCCTGACGCCAGCTTCCTGCTGGGGTGCACCCAGGAAGTGCCGGGGATCGCTCACGTAGCTGGGTGCCTGCCACTCCCATGGGAGAGACCTGGACTGAATTCCTGTTCCCAGGCATTTGGGGAGTGAACCAGTGAATGGGAAATGAATCTTTCTGCCTCTCAAATGAATTTTTTTAAACACAATTATACCAAAATAAGTACCTTTAAATTCCATTTTCCAGAAACTTAAAAATATTTATTTATTGGAGAGGTAGAGACAAAGAGAGAGACACAGTGTGTGTGTGTGTGTGTGTGTGTGTGTGTGTTGGGGGGTGGGGTGCATGTTCCTATCTGCTGGTTCATTCCCCAAACGCCTGCAATGGCCAGGGTAAGGCCAGGGCGGAAGCTGGAGCCAGGAACTCAATCCAGGTCTCCCCCGTAGTTAGGAGGAACCCACTTACTCAAGCCATCACTGCTGCCTCCCGGGGCCTGTATTCACAGCAGGCTGGAGCCGGGAGCTGGAGCTGGCTACCAAACCCAGGCACTCTGCTATGGAGCACGGGCATCCTAACCTGCATTTATCCACCAGCCCAAACGCCTGCCCCTGCCCCAGAAGGCACAGGCAGGAAACGCTTTGCTAAACCACTTTCACGAGAGTCCCCAGGCAGAGCGAGGGAGGGTTTATCCTGGTGATCTGGGGTGCTTTTGTTTAATCCCAGAGACTGAAAGTGAGGACGACAGAGGCAGGTTCTCACTGAGCAATGCTCGTGTTGAAAGACGCTGCCAGAATTGCATCCCAGGACAAGCTGGGGCAATGAACTCCTCCCCACCTTCGGCTCTGCAGCCCCAGCGTACATTCCGGAAGGCGTGAGCCATGCACCTAACCTCTGCACAGTCCTCCCCCGCCCTGACACTCAGTGTCACCTCTGACCTGTGCAGCGCCTCCAGTGTACAGTGGCTCCTCTCGCCTGTGGAGCCTCTGCCCACAGCCCCTTCCCAACGTTCTCCCGCAGCCCTGGGGCCCTGCTGCCTGGCACCCTTGGGGCTGCAAATGCGCCCACCAGGACTTGGGCTCATTTGCTCCCTCTGCATGTGCCACGCCTCCCACGCTGCCTGGTGGGCAGGAGGTGTTGACGAATGTTTGTTGAATGACTGAATGCGGACAAGCACATCCCCTCCGGGCTGTGATTTAGGCACAGCTGTGTTCAGATCTTGCAATCCCAGGGACTGACTTCCAGTTCCAAGCTCTACTGCCAGGAAAACCTTTTTACACTAGCACTGTTATCTCTGGTAGGTCCTTGAGGTCTTCAAGCTTCAGGGAGGTGGCAGCGTGGAGCCCTGGGAGGGAACAGGCCTGGGTCCAAGTCCCATTCCCCCGAGCGTGAGCTGTGCACCCCTGCACGGCGTGTCCTCCACCTCCCTGCTCGCTCATTAGCTACACAGTTACGCAGCCTGCTCTGGTTTGTGAGAGTGCTTGTGATGCCACCGGCACACGGCACACACTCAGTGACTCGAGCTCGCCTTGTGCCAACCGGGGTTCCACCATGTGGCCATGAGGCCCTGTTTCCATGGCACTGGATCTCACCGTTAATGTGTTCTTCCAACGAGGCAGCAGCCTTGGAACTACTGTCGCCTGCTGGGCACGGACCCTGTTGTCAGGCTTGGCTTTGAGTCCTGCCTGGGCTCCGTCTCCCTGTGGGGGGCGTGTTAGCAGGGCAGGACCCACCTTTCCTGGGGTGGTGAGAAGACCACGGGAGATGCCAGCCATGACAGGGACTCGGCACTAGGTCTCATGGAGGCACATGCTGGTTACCATGGTTACGATGGACTTCCAGGAGGTATGTTTTCCAAATCACATTCCCGCTAGACGCTCTAAGGCGAAGATGATTTATTTAAGAGGAAGTAACAGAATCCAGGGCTAGGCCCGGAGACAGCCGTAACCTAGATCTCTCCTTCATCCCCAAGGCTCCAGAGGCACACCCTCCTCACCCCCATTATCTTGCTACGCAGACTGTCCAGGGACCAGAAAGAACATTCCAGAAAACTACCAGGGCAGCCGGGATCCCAGGAACCATGGGACAAGGAGTGTCGCGTGCAGTGGGTGACACGCTGGTCAAGGAGGGCTCCGGTGACCTCCTCCCAGCTCTGCTGCACACCCCCACCCCCACCATCCAGCACCTGGCCACATGTGCTGGGCTTCCCCAGGGCTGTGGCATCCAGCAAGGACAACAGACGCCAAACCAGTGGGGGGTGTGAAGAAACTCCGGGCGGCCGTCCCTGTCCTGAAACTCAAACCCTAAACGCTCTGGAATCGCAGGCGACACCACGAGTGGAAAATTCTATGCCCCAGCCTCTCCCGTGATGGGTTGGAAGATGTGGGTGCTCTAACGCACAATTACCTGCAGGCCGTGTGGCCAAAGCGTGCATGAAACATAAATGAATGTCGTGTTTAGACCTGGTTCCCAGGATCTTATTACATATATGCAAATGAACCAGAACCTGGAGGAAAAAACAAACCGAAATCCCCAAATCTGAAACATTTGGCTCTCAAGCATTTTGGAGAAGGGACACTGAGCCCGAAATAGATTTTCCACTGTTAACGCATTCTTTGTGAGTTTCTACGTGGGCACGCTTTATAACTCATAAATGTTATCACGAAAATAGAACAGCTACACGGCACACGGACATCCACGCTGCCAGGCCTGCTGGGCTTCCCATGTGAGCAACTCATTTAAGCCCGCAATAACGCGATGGGGTGGGTACTGTTATTATTCTCAATTGACAGATACGGAAATCAAGTCATGATCGCCCCCAACCCAATTCACACGGCCATGAAGTAGCTGAGGCGGGATTTCACCCCGGGCAGCCTGGTCCAGAGCTTTGTTCTTGTGGTCCAGACTCGGGGAGGCAGCAGGTGGTGGCCCAAGTACTGGGGTCCCTGCCACCATAGGAGAGACACAGATTGACTCCTGGCTTTGGCCCGGTCCAGCATCGGCTGTTGCAGGCATTTGGGGGATGAACTTGTAGTGGATGGAAACTACTCTCTCTCTCTCTCTCTCTCTCTCTGCCTTTCAAAGAATAAAATAATAAAAGACTGTTTAACTCTTTGCTCTGTCTTGGGTCCTGTGCACACAGACACTGAGGATTCACAGATAACTGGCAGGCAGCTCTTACCCTCCAAGAACTCCCGTGACCTAATTAAAAGCATCCTGTCCCCTGATTTACATGAAATAATTATACATTTAATGGAGTACACTGCAACACTGCTACACGTACACACGGCACACTTAGCACTGGCACTTGCTCAGTGTTTGGAGCCTGCCAGCTCCTCTCCTGCAGGTCTTCCCCAGATGGGAGACATCTGCATGAATTAGTGCCTCACTAGACCTTGTTACGTCCACCTGCTGCCTCCTGGGACCCAGCATCCAACCTCCTTCTCTCCCCCTTTCTCAGTCTTGAGTAGTCACCATTCTAATTCTCACCAACTTTTTTTTAAACTTGCGTGTATGAGAGCGAGCATGCAGCATTTATCACACCTAATTCAGATACAGTGAAATTTCTCCAGGAACATCTACTGGGTGTACACATGACGCTCACTCAAATCTTTTCAGTTGTCTTTAAGATTTATTTATTTGGAAGGCAGAGGGGCAGAGAGGCAGGAGAGAGAGAGAGAGAGAGAGAGAGAGAGAGAGAGAGAGAGAGAGATCGTCCATCTGCTGGTTCACTCCCCAAATGGCTGCAACTGCCAGGGCTATGCATTAGCAGGGAGCTGGAAGGGAAGTGGAGCAGCCGGGACTCGAACCAGCACCCACATGGGATGCTGGCGCTGCAGGCAGTGGCTTTACCCGCTAGGCCACAGTGCCGGCCCCTCAGCTGTCTTCTTCAAAACAGAGATGGCCATGGCATATTTTGGAAATTAGAGGTAAAGACCAGGCGCACTGCAGTCTTTTTGCTACAAAACAATGTGCTGTCCGTACTCCTACGTCCTGGATCCCAAGGGCAAGACGGACAAGCAAACGGGCACACACGTCAGATGCAAACTAAAGGGGGAGGGTGGGACTGGCACCCGTGCAAGGAGAGCGCTGGTTCGGGCCCCGGCTGCTCCACTTCCCACCTGGCTCCCTGCTAATGCTCCTGAGAAGCCAGCGGAAGATGGCTCTCAAGTCCTTGTGGCCCTGTGACCCACGTGGGAGATCCGGAGGGAGTTCCTGGCTCCTGACTTTGACCTGGCCTAGACCTGGCTGTTGTGGCCATTCAGGGAGCGAACCAGAGATGGAAGATTTCTCTTTCTCTTCCAAGAGGAAGGGAAGGGAGGAGAGAAAGAAAGATGGTCACCACGAAGCTA